AGACCTGTCTCCTGGTAATGGCAAAAACTAGTTGCTGTAGCAGGCTAAACAACGGTGCTTCCTGGAGGTGTACAAGGGCATCAGAACAGGCACTATTTCAGCTCCGTCAGGGCTGGGATAACCTTCCCTGCCACTCCGGGAGGTCTGCATTCCTTTAGGGAACAGGGGCGGAGTAGAAGTGGAGAGGTTTTATCAGCCTGAAGGTCACATTTCCTTCTGGGTGCAAAGTCAGCAAGGAAACCTTCTGGTGGCATGTAGAGCATGGCAGAAGAGAGAAGCCAAGGCTGTGGAGGAAAGAGAGGAAGATTCAGAGAGCGCCATCACCTGGATGATTCTCCTGGAGTGCTCTCCTAGGCAGGGAAGGGAGCGCAGCTCCTGCACTCTTCTGACTGTCCAGGGTAAGGACTTGAGGACAGAGGCAGCCCTGGAGAAGGCCAGGCTGCGGGCTTCACTGCCACAAAAGTGTGCCTCCTCTGCCATCGTTTGCAGAACTTCCTGTCAAGGGAAAGGCAATTAAGGATCATTCTCAAAGGGGGCTCCCTGGCAAAAGCAAGTTCAAACACTCAAAAGAGGATCTGACCATCTCACCAACTGCATATGCAAAGTATCATGCTTCTGAATGCAGCCGCATATTCATCAAGGCAGACTCTCCCCGCATGGGTAAAGCCAGCACATCAGGGAGAAGGACAGAGCAGAAGGGTTTGCCCTGACCTGCTAGCTTTGAACACAGCGATACTCTGACTTAGCGTTGCCCATCTTTACCATTCCTGTGCCCCCAACAACAGCCTGACATGCAAAAGGTTTAGCACCTGAACCTCTCCCGACCACTTATTTCTGAACAGAATTGATACCCTCGGCCCAGTATACCTGAAGGGGCATCTCCACTCCCATCCTTCAGCATGGACATTGAGGTCCAGCTCCGAGGGTCTTCTGGCTGTTCCCTCATTTCAAGAAGTGAGGTTACAGGGGACCAGGCAGAGGGCCTTCTCGGTAGGGGCACCCTCCCCGTGGAATGCCCTCCCATCAGATATCAAGGAGATAAAGAACTACTCAACCTTTAGAAGACATCTGAAGGCAGCCCTGGAAAGGGAAGTTTTTAATGTGTGATGTTCTGTTGTGTTTTTATATTATGTTGGAAGCTGCCCAGAGTGGCTGGGGCAAGCTAGTCAGATGGTCGGGGTACAAATAATAAAATTATTACTATTACTCCCTTTTTAAGAAACATGCCACTTCAAGACAAGTTTTTTAAAAAAATACATAAACAAATCAGCAACACACACAATAAGCAGAAGCATTGGAAAAATTTTAAAGGTGATTTAAAAACAGGCAGAGGGGGAGGTAGATGCAAGATTTGCTGTTTGCCTAGGAAACTCTTCACCTGTTTTGTGGCTGTCAGGCTGCTCGTCAAGGCTGGTAAAGCGGTGGAAGCATTATTTCTATCCTGGGGGTGTCCTCAATACCTGAGCTATGCAATTTAGTGAGGTTGCACCATGTGGCCTCCTCAGTGTTTGAGCTGGGTAAGCAAGGGAGAAATCCAGAGCTTCTCCCATATTATGATTTGCCATGTTTAGGTGGAGCTGCTTTTCTGCCATCCCTTATTGTTCATCCACTCCAATGGGCTCAAAATGTTCTCCATGTGCCTCTGGTTTCCTGCTTCTGCATTTATCTGCAATAATTTTTGTAAGTATTAAATAATATGTCACGAGTGTGACAGAGACACTCTCTGTCCCTGCAGCCTTGTTCTCTGCTCAATCACTCCAAGGGGATGCCCAAACTATTCCTGTCCCCAGAAACAGATTATTACCGTGAGTGTCTGGTTCCTGTGCGCCAGCAGAGTTCGGCGCTGGCAAGCATAAACTGGCACCTGGCACCTGGCCTCCAGCGTCTCTGCATGGGCAGCCACCTGAAAGACAGAACATTTAGCTCCCCTGCATTGAAGGGCTCAGAGTCAGTAACTAAAAATAGTTTTTAAACTTTACATCCTCCTTCTGTATAAGTGTCAGTTCCCCAAACGCTTTCTCTTAGTCACACTCTAGTAATGTCACAACAGAGCACGAGAAAGAAACTGGGGGGGGGGATTGGGAAACTGTGTTTGCGGAGAGAGAAACAGAGAAATTGCATTAGAGAGGCACCCTCCACACTGTTTTTCTGGTAAGGAATTACTAACTGCACAAAAAATGACAGTACTCAAGCCACTCCTAGGGCACATTCATTTAAAGTGCTATAATACTGCCTTAAACAACCATGGCTTCCCCCAAATAATTCTGAGAGCCATGGTTAAGGGTGCCAAGAGTTGTCACGAGTTTCCCTGGAAAGAGGGATTGATTGTTAAACCACTCTGGGAATGGGGCTGGGCAGACTTTGTCTACCTCCCTGTTTAACTTACAGATCACCCCCCCCCAAAAAAAAAAAACCCACCACACAGCTATTCTAGACAAACGCCGTTAAGAGCAAGTGTTAAAGAATGCAGGGCCTTGCCTGAGCTTGTTCCTCTGCGGGACTCACAATGAAATGTTGCAGTAGAGAGAGCTCCTGTTCAGGGTTGCCATCAGCCAGCCCTATCACTATGGGTTTGGGGGATTAGCCTGTCGTGACATCCATGGGTCCCTTCCAGACCTGTTCCTTGGCTGGCCTCCTCAGCCCCTCAAAGAAGAGATGGGTTGCCATAGTGACAACTGAAGAGGCTTCCCGCAGAGGGGAGACATTTTCCCTCCCCCCCCCCAACCTGGCTGGGTGGTCATCCTACAAGGGAGAACAATAGGCCAGGGGGAGTTAGTTTTGGGTGTCTCCGTTTTGGCTGATGCTGGAGACCCAGAGGCAAGCCTGCCTGCCCTGAGCTTGACTCAAAGTTATGACTGGGAGCTCCCCTGGAACCCAATAGGGAAAAAGCATTATCAGTTGGAGTTTTCATGCTGTGAACCCCTCCATCCTTTGCTCAGGTTGCGTATATGTGTAAATAAAGGCACGTAGCCTAAGGACACCACCGTCTCCATCAACCTACATTCATAGAGTTGTAGACTTGGAAGGGACCATGAGGATCATCTAGTCCAACCCCCTACAATGCAGGAATCTTTTGCCCAACGTGGGGCTCGAACCTACAACCCAGGGATTAAGGGTTTCATACTCTACCAAACCCAGGGAAGCGCTGGCACCCATGGAGTGTCTTGCCTCTCAGAGATTGCAGCACACACAACAAAACTCAAGTCTTCACAGGCAGGTTTGATGGGGGGGGGGTTGCTCTCCTAGTTGACTTTTTCCTAAATACCATTTGTACTCCTCTATACTTCGGACCCCCCCCCCACACCCTGCCAGGTATGCTGAGAACCCCACCTCCAATTTCTCAGCAGTCCTGTTGTGACCTCACAGTCACTGGCACTCAGCATCTGACTGACAGGAGCAGGGCGGGTTTATTGTTGTGAGGTGCATTGGGGGCCTAGAAAGGCGTTTCCGTAAGTAATCAATACAGTGGAACCTCGTTACGCACCGTCCTCCTTACGTATGCTTCGGATTACGAGCTCTGCTAACCTGGAAGTAGATGCTCCCGGTTGCGAACTTTGCCCCAGGATGCGAGCGGAAGTCGCGCACCAGCAGCGGGAGGAGCCATTAGCGAAAGCGCTCCTCATGTTAAAAGCAGCTTTGGGTTACAAACAGACCTCCGGAATGAATTAAGTCTGCAACCGGAGGTACCACTGTAAAGCTTACAATGGCAATCATTCCTGCATCTGGCTGGAACCCAGGACAAGGCTCTGCAAGGTTCCTTCCTCACCTGGAGACGGTGCCTGGGCTCAATCTCCGCAGGCCGCCCAGCACTCATGCTCTCTGTGAACCAGCTGGTGTTCAGCAGCGCTGGGCAGCCACCCAAGACATCGATGCCGCGGCTCCCGTTCTTCAGCAGCCACTCAACCACCTCATCTCCAGAGTTGCCCTCTGACACCACGTGGGTAACTCTGTCACTGGAAAGCACCACATGGAGGGGGGAGGAAGGGGGAAAGAAGACTCTGAGCAACATCGTTGTGCAAACCCAACCCAGTCAATCCAGCCCAGCAAGCAGAGGGCCCCTCCAGACTGCAGCGGCGTAGCTAGCCGCTCAGGTGCCGGGTGCGTCGCAGGTGTCCTGAAGCTGGGCGCGGGGCATGGGGCAGGGCAAGCCACCCATGGGGGTGGGGCAAGCTGCGTGGAACCTCTCCGCTGCCTTCCCCCTCAGCTGTAGGGAGGCAAGTGCTGGCCCTGCCAATGTGGTGCCCAGTGCAAGGTGCATTTTGTTATGTTTGTTGACTGAACTAAAAAGTTTCGTGAGCTCATTTTTTTAAAAAACCATATTTTTATCATTTTGTCACCCCCTTCAATGATGTCACCCGGGGCAGTCCGCACCTCTTCCTCCACCACTGCCGGACTGTAGGCTTCGGGGGGGCAGGGGTGTCCTGCAACATGTCACTGCCCTAGAAGGGCCATTCACACATCACTCCACTTTACCAGGTGTTTGGCCTCTTCATGCTACCACGTTATTGCTCTTTGGAGCGCTACTCTTGCACCGTAGCAGGACAAAATGTGCCCAGGAAATTTGTGGCCTGAAAACCCAGGATGGGGTGCCCCCCTTTTCCTCTTCCTTCTTCAGAGGGAGAGCCTGGCCCACCTCCTTTGTTACCTGTTGGCATCCTCCACGCAGAAACCCCTTTGGCGGGCCAGAGTGGTAAGGAAAGCCTTGCGCGTGGCTCCCATCCTCTTCTCCACCAGGCACAGCACCACTTTGGGGAAGCGCACAGGATGCGCCAGGGGAGCTGGCGAGCCGGGCAGGCGCAAGCGCTGCTTCTTCTTCTTCTTCTTCACTGGAAACTGCGACATCATTGGCTTAGCGAAGGAAGGCCCTTCCCCAAAAGAAAGAAAGCGGTCAAGATCGAGAGACGGGGGCAAAGAGGGCAGGGGCCTCCCCTGCACTATTTGCAGTGCCTGCTCGAATCATTCTTCTTTAAACAAGCCTATCCAGATGCTAAGAAAGCTGAGGTAATTTTAATCTGTATATTTCCTTTTTCTTTTTAGATTTTTTAAATTAAATTCGTATTCTGCCCATTTGAAGATCTCAGGGAAGTTCACAGATTGTTTTAAAGTGGGTTGTAATTTTTCTGGATTTTACTATTTTTTCTTTTGTAAACAGCTCTGAGGTTTTTATGAACAGGCGCTGTATAAATTTTATGAAATAAGATATAATAGATATTAAATAAATAAAATGCAGGGAGAGGAATTATTTTGACAGGCCAACCTTCTATCAACAAAATAGTAGTTAAAAACGGAATCCCTGCCACATAGTATTTAATCTAACGGTTATGTCAAAAGAAGCCTCTCACCTGCCTGCACAATATTTAGTCCCAGCTGTCCAGCAAGAGGACAAGAGAAATCCTAATTTTCCTGCTGGTGCAAGTTTGCAAAACGGATATGCTCAGGATGACAGCTTTCCTATCCATGAAAAGCAGGGGAAATTGTACAAAAGGGCAGAGCAGTAGGCTGCAATCCTAGACACTCTTTCCTACAAGTAAGACCTATCAGACTCAATGGGGGTTTACTTCTGAGTAGGCAGGTATAGCGTTGCTCTTTTGGGCTGCCAGTCAGAAGAGACAACTCTGGACTAGGGAGACGAATAGTGTCACATCGCCTAATGCCATTTCCTATGTTCCCAGTGAATAATAAGATTCATATATGCCAGGCGTATATTGCTTTTTACCTGCCTTTCTCTTGCATCTTGAATAGCAGTCTTAGCTAAAACTTTTTATCTCTTAGAATGTTGCTGGAGATGGTTAAGCAGAGGAAGCTTTTCCTTGCAACTGAAACCTGAGTCTCAGGCTGCTACTAAGAGATGAAGAGCAGAGGCAGTAAGGAAAACACAGCAATGTCCTATCCAAGACTGAGCAAAGGAATTGAGAATGATTCTGCAGCAGAGTCCTGCCCATCCTAACACACTCCTCCTCATGCAGAGTCTGTGTCTGGCTGGAGTATGTTCCTGAATGCCCAGGGCAACAGGCCTGTTCTTGGCTGGGATGGAGAAGGGCGTGTCCGTGAGGAGGCTGGTCTTTCTGTACAAAGGGAAACTCCCAGGATTCGTTGCTCCGCCCACTATCATGGGTCCCGGGCCCCGAAGTTGGCTAGCAGGGCATGTGGCCCGTGGGCCCTCGAGGATGCCAAGATGGGGATGGGGGCCAGGGGGCAGTTCCTGGAAAGACCTCATGGAGGGAGGAGGGCAAGGTGAACCCACGCTCAGCTGGAGAATTATTGCATTCACTCGCTTTTAGTTATTTCATAAAGTTTAGCTACTGCTTGAATGTATGTTGAAAAAACTCAAAGTAGCTTACAGAAAGAATAAAACCATCAGTCAAAACAGGCACAGGATGCAGTAACACTGAAAAACAATTTAAGATCAATAAAAAGCTAAAAACAGATTAAAATAATATCAGCATTCTACATATCTGTCGAAAAAAGTACAGCAAAGGCTCCTGCCCAACGTCGCCCTGTTCCAGGCGGTGGGTGCTGCTGCTGCCCCTCTAAAGGATGCGCGGATCCAGCGAGCGAACGCATCCCCACGAGCTCTCCCCCCTCCCGCTTCACCCGCGCAAGGTGGGCTCGGCGGGCCGGGAGCGCGGAGCGGCCAAGGGGGCGGCGGGAGTCCCGGGTCCTGGCCAGGGGGACTCACCGCGGAAGCAGGCGCCAGGTCCGGCGGCAGCGCGGGCGCAGCTGGGCTTCCCGGCTCCTGCGCGCCCGCGGACCCTCCCTGGCCCCGCCCCCTTCCGGCGGCCCCGCCCCTCCCGCTGGGGGAACGGAAAGGGACGCGCTGGGCGGAGAAGAGGCCGGGCGCCGAGGCGGAGGGAGCGCGCGGGGCGGCCTTCCCATGGGGGGGTCCCTGGGCGCCCTGCTGGCGGCCTGGCTTCTGCTGGCCGCGGAGGAAGCAGCGGCCGGAGCGCGGAGCGGGGGCGCCAAGGACAACATCCTGCTCATCCTGACCGATGACCAGGACCGAGAGATGGGGGGCATGGTAAGTGCGGGGGGGGGCGCCTCTCCGCCTTACTCCCAGGCACAGCCGTGGCAGGGGGGGGGGGTCCGAAATGCACGTGTGGCTCCGGGCTGCTCAGCTGGCGGCCTAGCGGAAATAGCAGCCTGCAGGAGCAGAGTGCGTGTGGATCAGGGCGCCTGGCTCGAGCCCACCCAGGGACAGTGGAGGGCAGGATTCTTGCATTGCGGGGGTGGGGGTGGGGGTTGGACTAGATGACCCTCGGGTCCCTTCCAGCTCCATGATTCTCTGAGGCCTCAAAGCACACCTGAGCCACAAACCGGTGTACCTTAAAGGATGTATATACCCGATAGTATCAAGGCTTTCTAGTCTAAAGGTAGGTAGGTAGGTGGGGGTTTTTACTGTTCTGCTGTGAAGGGATCAATAACTTTGCCAAAGTCTAAGCCAGCCAGGGCTATTTGGCTGCAAACCCATATATAGAACAGGCCCCATTTATTTCAGGGGGGCTTTGTTGCATCCAGGTGTACATTGGACTCCCATCCCTGCGCATGCTTTACTTCAAAGTAAGTTCCTCTAAGCTGAGTTTAAGCCCAAGTGACAGCACAGGATTTCCACACAGCCTTCCTTCTTGTTGGTCTGTAAGGACAAAAGGGTCCTGATCCAAGGGTCCTGTTTGCTGAGAGGGACAGACATGTGCAGCAGCCCTTCCAGCTCCTTTCCTTGTGACAGCAACCCTCGGTGGTACTTCCTGGGGAAGAAGCAGGGAATTGTGGGACTTGGGCACTGGGGTTCCAAACATGATACCTGAGGCTGTGGCAGCCCTTGTGGGACCAGTTCTGATAAGCATGGCACACGGCGATGCTCACTTGTTCTACACTTCAGTCCCAGCCCTTTGCTACCTGAAGGAAGGAGCAAGATGGCGCCCCTCATATGGCTCCACATATGGGCGTCAAGAGGACGGGGGTGAAGTCAGACCGCTGGAGAGCGGCAGCTGCGCTGGGGCTGCAGGGACTGCTGTGGGAGGGACATGTCTTGTTGCATCTGGGGCAGATGCGGGCGCCCGGTTGTGCTGGGGCAGATGCACCATGATTTCTCATTCCTCCTCTGGTCACTGCTGTGGGTGGATGTTCAGTCTCTGGCATCTCCAGGCAGGCGCTTTGTGTGAGAACCGGGAAGAGCACTGCTCTGCGTCAAGATAAGGCCCTTACTTTGTTAACTGACTCCAGAAACTGTGCCTTGCTGGTCCTGGCCTTGGAGAGCACCATCGTCCTGTCTGGTGACATGCAGGAAGCCAGTCATGTGACAAAGTCCCACGTGAATGCCGGTGGTTCTCTATGCTTCCAGATCATGTTTGGTTGCTGGAATGAGAGCAGGGTTCAGTTTGCCTTGTCTTCAAGTAGTGTGGAGTCTGAGCAAGTGAAAATCTGAAACCACCACACATTGTCACATTTACCTGGAACTGAAGTGTAGAACAAGTGACCATCGCTGTGTGCCATGCTTATCAGAACTGGTCCCAAAAGGGCTGCCACAGCCTCAGCTATCATTTTTCTGTGGAGGTTCCCTAGGCAGAATTGTTGCTTCCCATCGTACATTCTGGCTTCTTCTCCCACATGCATCTTGGAGATGCAGAAACAAGCCCACGCAACATGCTGCCCACTTGATGGCACCCTCATGTGCAGGAAGCGATGCAATGGGAGGAGGGCCTTGGACCCATAAAAGCTGAGCTTCCTTCCAGAGGTTGCTCTCTCTGACACCCCGTTCGGTACTTCAGTTTATAGTTCTCCTTAAAATGAATTACACAAATGGTGTAACAAATGTAATTAATATGTCTGATGGCTTTTGTGTGTGACAAATATTTCCATGGATTTAGAGCAGGAAATTAAGTATCCATCTTGCAAACCTCAGGTTACCACTAACTTCTTGAACAGTTTCCCTTCATGTTTGAAAGAAATTAAATAATTCTGGGCAGCTGTAGCAGGCAGGTAGCAACGCTGAGGCCAGTCCCTTCGGAAAGCTTGAACACGGATACGATGACAGGTGCTGTGATAACACCTGTGTAGCTAACATAACATGTTGCTTAGCCTTGAGAAATGGTTCACAAAGGAGACCTGTGGGGTCTGGGGCTGATGGGAGTTGTAGTCCAACAACATCTGGAGGGCGCCAGGTTGGTGAAGGCTGATGTAAGGGAAGGCACGTTTATGACATGTCTCCATCTGGCTCATTTTCTTTCACTCGCTCTTACTCTCTTCTCTTAAAATAAAAAATGTTAAAAGTGGCGGAGGTCTTGACCTCTTGGTTCAAGACCTGTATTTTCAGCTACCATTATGCTACAATGGACAAAGCATGCCATTTTGCCTTTATTGATGAGGTGCAAAGGTATTTTGGGGAGTGGATGTGTGTATTGAGCCAGACTCAAAGGGTTGCTTTGAAGATTAAATTGCAGAAAAAGAAAATTACCCCCAAACACTCATATGAACGCTTTGTGGCAGGTGTTCCTGAAAATGATTGTAGGCTGCAGAACGTGGAAAGGAGAAGGCCATTCTGCCCTCATCTCAACCATCTTCTGTATCAGGGTTTGGGGGAACCTGTAGCCTTTTGTTTGATTCCAACTCCTGTCCCTTGCAGCCAGCATGACCAGCGGCAGCGATGAAGAACATGAGAGTTTGTTGGTTAGGTGATCAGCTGTGTGTTCGCAGGCTTATTTTCAGGCCTGTGGCCCAGATGTGACTGTTTGGTTCTATCTTTCAGACCCCCATGAAGAAGACAACATCCCTGATCGGTCAGTTAGGTGCCACTTTTGCCAATGCAGTAAGTATCTGGACAATGCCACTGAGAATTGCTCTGGGAAGTTTAAACTGATTGTAATCCTAGATGCATTGGGAATAGGAAACAGCCCTGAAGCAGAGAGGGGGTGGTTTCCTCTTTCTCCCCTCTCCATGCTGTTTTTTATTATATATAAACTGCTAGCTTGTGTCCACTTCAGGTTTTTTCCTAAGCTAAAACACCCCAGCTGCTAGACTGGGAACTGGGAACAGCCGCTGGAACCACATAACACCAGTCCAGAAAGATTGACTCCCAGTACATTTCCGAGCACAATTCAAAGTGCTGGTGCTGACCTTTAAATAGCCTTGGCCCTGTAGACCTGAAGGCATGCCTGGGGCAGCCCAGCCACATGGGTGGGGCACGAGAAATCAATTATTAATATTAATATTAAGCCTTTCTTGGTAGAGAGCGGCTGCAAACGACCCCTGCTTGGATGCTGGTGGTGCCCCTGCTGAGTTTGAGGAGATGCTTGGGACAGTACCCAGATTGGGGAGGGAGGGATGCTAATTTGTAGGGCAGAGGCTGACCTCCTGAATGGACATGTCGCCCTCCAGTTTGCAGTCACTCCTCTGTGCTGTCCGAGCCGCAGCAGCATCCTGACCGGCAGATACCCTCACAACCACCTGGTGAGGAACAATTCCTTGGAGGGCAACTGCAGCAGCACAGCCTGGCAGAAGTTTCAGGAGCCATTCACCTTCCCGGTTTACCTACAGAGGCAAGGCTACCAGACCTTCTATGCTGGCAAATATCTCAACCAGGTAAAGTCCTCTGCAGACAAATGCCACCGATGCCCAAATATTATACGCAGATGATGGGCGTTCTGTGGGCATCCACATCACCTCTCCTTGCCTTTAAAAGCCGTGTGCATGCCTGTTGCGTCTGACTTGGCGACTCTCCTCTATTACAGTATGGGGACCCCAAAGCAGGAGGCGTTCAATATATGCCACCAGGCTGGAGCTACTGGTTAGGTCTGGTGAGTAGGCGCCCTTCTCTCTCTCTCTCTCTCTCTCTCTCTCTCTCTCTCTCTCCTAATTTCACAGCAGGCAAGGTGACCCAGTGAGATCCATGGGGCAGAGTGCTGGACTTTGATGTGCAGGATGCAGATTCACACCTCTGCTCAGAACTGAAGTTTGCCAGGTGGCCTTTGCTGAGAGACAATAAGCCGCTGAATCTACATTCTTGTAGATCTCAGAGGTATCTCATACAACCATAGAGTTGGAAGGGACCCTGAGGATCATCTAGTCCAGGGGTCAGAAAACTTTTTCAGCAGGAGGCTGGTCCACTGTCCCTCAGACCTTGTGGGGGGCCAGACTATATTTGAAGGGGAAAAAAAGAACAAATTCCTTTTCCCCACAAATAACCCAGAGATGCATTTTAATTAAAAGGACACAGTCTACTCATGTAAAAACACGCTGATTCCCGGACCACCTGCGGGCCAGATTTAGAAGGCGATTGGGCTGGATCCGGCCCCCAGGTCTTAGTTTGCCAGCCATGATCTAGTCCAACCTTCAATGCAGGAATACGCAGCTCTCGCTTACGGGGATCAAACCTGTAACCTTGGCGTTGTCAGCACCACGCTCAAACCAACAGAGCTATCCAGCCATTCTCTCAGAGTTCTTGCAGCAGAGCAGTGGCCTTGCATGCAAAAGGTCCCTGGGTTCAATCCTTGGTGCCTCCAGGTAGGATTGGCAGAGAACCCTGCCTGAAATCCTTGAGATTTGCTGGAGACCAAGGTTTCATGTCGTTGGTCAGGACACACCAGGGGAGCCTCATTCCCACAGCCCTGCCCCCTAGCCAGGCCATAGCCTTTTGGGTGGACCAATGCCAGCACATCGGTGCGTGGTGAGTAAAAGTGACCAGGAGAAAGGGGAGGTCAAGGTGGCGGAGGGGGGGAAGAGGTCCCCCTCCTCTGAGGGGAAAGGGAATGGGAGGGAAAGGAGTAATATTTATTAATAACAAATAAACGGGGGTTCTTCCTGTGTTCCTAGTGAATGGGAGAAAGAAGAAGCAGACAAAGCTAGATTAGTATTGCAATACTGTGAGACTATGGGAACAGAGTGAGCAGCTACAAAAATGCAGATTTGGAAGTTAGGATCATCAGTAGCTCCTCAGACAATTGGTGTGTCTCCCATGGTGATGACAGTTCTCCAGGGTGTCTCAGGCAGAGAGGCCTTCTCCATCATCTGCTGCATTGTCTTTTAACTGGAGATGCCAGGGGTGAAGCAGGGACCGTCAGCCTGCAAAACATGGGCTCTGCCACTGAGTGATCGTCCTTTGTTTGGAGGGTGGTTTCCTTTGGGTTTTTTCCCCTAGGCACCAAAATATCCTAGGCTGGCTTCCATCTGTAATACTGTTCCTCCTTATTGTGGGGTGGCCCAGTGCCAAGACCCTGGTGTTCAGAACAATTTCCAGAGCTGGCTCTTTGGTGACTCAATTCATCATCACTTTGTGCCTCTTTCCATAGGTGGGGAATTCCAAGTACTATAACTACACTCTTTCAGCCAATGGACACGAGGAGAAGCACGGGAGCACTATGAAGAAGACTATCTCACGGACATCATTGTGAGTTGTCCCTCCATGTCACCTTCGTTTCTGGCTTCCCAGATCCCCCTGCGATCAAGTAGCTAGACCACTGGAAGGGCAGCCCCATTCGACAGTCAGAATGCTTTTTTTCGGTGTCATCAATTAGTCTAAAAAACAGTCGTTATTGCATTGGCTCACTTATGTCTGTCAAGGAAAGAACTAAAGTGAGAAAGAGAGCATTGAAGCTGGAAGATGGCCTGCCAAGTCTCTGACGTTCATCTCTTTCCTCCAGAAACCCTCCCTTCGTGGAAAGGATCTGTAGTCCTCCCTGCCTGCCTCTTTTTCTCCCACTTCTCCACTCTTGGCTTTCAGGAGAAGAGCTTTTCCAAGCAAACAAGAGGCCTCCACCTCTGCCTCTGCTTCTCTGTTGCAGCAGCCAGACACCCAAGTCAGTGACTCAGTTGATGTCTGTAATAGGTGGGGCACTGAGGCCTAGAGCAGCAGTGGGCAGCCTCAGGCTGCGAGGGGCCAAAGGCATCCTTCTAGGCCTCTCTGGCCCAGCCTTCCTTCACATCCTCCTTGGGTGTTTTTGCCTGGCTAGAACAGGTGCTTAAATCATGACTCTCATTTGCCTGGATGGTGGGTGGAGAGGGGTTTGTGTAGAAACTAGCTGGCAGATAAAATTTACAGTGGTACCTTGGGTTACAGACTCTTCAGGTTACAGACTCTGCTAACCCAGAAATAGTACCTCGGGTTAAGAACTTTGCTTCAGGATGAGAACAGAAATTGTGCAGCAGCGGTAGCGGGAGGCCCCATGAGCTAAAGTGGTGCTTCAGGTTAAGAACAGTTTCAGGTTAAGAACAGACCTCCGGAACCAATTAAGTACTTAACCCGAGGTACCGCTGTATATTCATTGCCCCCCACTTTTTGCCTCTGGCCCTGCCCCCACAGGCATGTGGTTCCCCAGAAGATTGCCCAGGGAGGGAGGGAGGCATCTCTTGGAAAGCGTTTCCCCAGCCCTGATTCAGTGAGGTGGGTGGAGTGTTTTCATGTGCACTTTTGCAGGACAAGCAAAACAGTTTCCCTGCTGTTGGTTGCAAGTCAGGAAAACGCACACGTCTACCAGCACCTGGAAACGAAGCACGATAGAGAGAGAAAGATTGTCTATGACTGCACGATAAACTGGCACTTTAGAATCCCATGAAAGTTCACTCCATCAAAATCCTTAGGACAGGGTGGATCTTGTTGGCCACGGACTGTGCTGGCTGAGCTGATGGCAGCTGGAGTCCGCACAACATCTGGAGGGCCACAGTTTCCACATCCGTGAAAATGGGACTTCAGAGAAAAGACATGGGAAATATGCTATCTATTTCTCTTTCAAAACCCTTAACCTGTGGAGCAAGGTACAGTCGTACTTGGAAATCAAACAGAATCTGTTCTGGAAGTTCGTTCGACTTCCTAAACGTTTGGGAAGCAAAGCACAGCGTCTGATTGGCTGCAGGATGTTCGGCTTCCAAAAATAGTTCACAAACCGGAACACTCACTTCCGGGTGCCAAAATGTTCAAGAACTAAGCTGTTTGAAAACCAAGGTACAGCTGTATTTTACCCCTTCCATGCCTCCCTAGGATTCCCTCCCATGGCACCATGGCTTGAGCCATTCGTCTCTTTCTCTCCTTCCCTGCTGCAGACTAACCGGAGCCTCCAATTCCTGGAGAAGCTTTCCCACCCTCCTTTTCTCATGGTTCTGGCTCCACCTGCTGCACACGCCCCCTGGACAGCAGCCCCCCACTACAAGTCAGCATACAGCAGCATCAAAGCGCCACGCAATGGAAGCTTCAACGTCCACGGAAAGGTGAGTTCACAGGCCTTGATGTGGGCAGCGGGCTTGAAGGGCTCATGGGCAGCTCCATCGGCTTCTCTCTCTCTCTGCTCCTCTCAGGGCAAGATGCTTCTCTGGTGGCAGCTGGGAACAGGGAGGTCACTTCAACAGGAACACCGGGATCTAATGGTGGGCATCTTGCCAGGCTCTTCTGCCTTGGAAGATGCCTTCTTAAGTGGCAAGTTGCTGCCACTGCTGGAGTCATAATCAGTACACAGCAGAGGACAAGCGAGGAAGCAGGAGCTTTCATTCCGTGGTCCCAGAGAACTGCAAGGACAATAATAATCAAAGAATTGTGGCACTTATGCGTGTTTCTTACTGTATTTTGTTTTTTTAAAAGTAAATCAGAATTTTAAAATGGCAAGTGTTAAATACATGGGGGAGGGGGAAGAGCACAAGGGTGATGGTGTCATCAGGTGAGGGTCCGAGTCTTTTCTCCAAATATTTGCCATCTGGATTCTGTTGATAAAGTCTCCACAATCTTCTTCCCTGTATAGGACAAGCACTGGTTGATAAGGCAAGCAAAGACTCCCATGTCAAACACATCCATTGAGTTCCTGGACAACGTCTACAGGGAACGGTAAGAAAGGATCCAAAATTCCACTCGTAGGAGCTGTAGAAGCTTGAAAGGAGTGAGGCCATGGGGGGAAGACATTTGTGGGGGCTTTTATCCAAAGTCACTGGGAGACCCTGATGGAGACAGACGTCTGAGAGGCAGTGAGACTCAGGTGTTGTGCATCTTCCCTCAACCTGACATCCTTCAGATGCTTTGGACTACAACTCCCACCAGCCATTGCTGGTGTAGATGTGATGTGAGATGTGATGTATAGTGAAGCTGTGAAGTGAGAAGTACCTGGTCAAAGAGTAATGGGCACAATTCCACGTTGCCTAACTGTAGTACTGAGTCTTCAGGAATGGGAAATGTGTGGGCCTCTGGATGTTGCTGGACTCCATCTGGCAGGCAGGAGGCCCCTGAAGCACGCCCCACAGCTCCAGGACCCATTGAACTAGAGCCAAGGCCCTCCCAGGCCCCCTTCCCCTGGGTCTGATCAACTGAGTGCCTCCCAAACCGGTGCAGGGAGTGCACTAAGCGGGAGGCATGGAGCCCAGGAGAAGGGTCCTCCTTCAGACATGGTTGGCCCTTTAAGACCTGCCCACTTGGACCTCCTTTCTGGGCATCTTCATGGAACCAGAACAGGACAGTCCCTTTCAGGACCCTGGCTGCAAGCTTTCCAGACGCATCTGCCTAGCTGCTGTTGGAAAGTGAACATTGGACTATGGACCCTTGGTCTGACCCAGCAGGACTCTTTGAAGATTGCGTGTTTGTGCAGGGTCAACAGTAGAGGCACAGACTCTTCCCTCATACACTGAGTGGCTTCCCTGCTGCTTCAATAATGCAGTTTATTGCGATAGCTTGATCTGTTGCACCAAAATGCAGTTGAACTACAACTCCCATCATCCTGTTTCTGGCTGAGACTGATGGAAGTCGTAGTCCACAACATCTGGAGGGTACCACATTGCTACCTCTGCAATATATAGTATGTCCTCATATTCTTGCAGGTGGCAGACTCTGTTGTCTGTGGATGACATGGTGGAGAAGATTTTTGAAAAATTGAAGACCCTCCACCTGTTGGACAGCACATACGTGTTCTATACTTCAGATCATGGTTACCACACAGGTGAGTAGAGGCCTGCTTTTGCCACAGAACCTTTGGGGGGGGAACTTGTGGGGTGGGGTGGGGAATAGCTCCAATGTCTCTTTCAGTGGCAAACTGGTGGAATGTGTAGGGATGAATCAGGCCAGGGTTGCCAACAGGATGGATGATGGCAATGGGCTGTCCGTGGAGCTGCCCTTGAAGACAACTTGGAAACTTTCCTTGGTCCAAAATGCAGTGGCCAGATTGCTGACTGGAGTTGCTTTCAGAACTCATGTAACCCCTGTTTCTAAAACAGCTGCATTGGCTGGCGGTTTATTTGTGGGCCAAATTCAAGGTGCTCACATTAATGTTTAAAGCCCTAAACTTTGACTCCGGGTATCTGAAAAGACAGCCTCCTTCCTTGAAGAACATCTGGAATACTAAGATCAGCAGGGGGTGGCGCCCTCTTGGCCATTCCACCACCCTCAGCAGCTGGGCGAGGGAGGCCTGGGAGAGAGCGTTCCCAGGCAGCCCTAAGGCTCTGTGCATCCTCCTCCTCCTCACAGAGCTGGGCCTGGCAACTTAGCTACGGTCTTTGGAAAATGCCAAAAGCGAACCTCTTTACCTTGCCCTCGGAGAAGGACCCACCCTAATTTTGTGATTGTCAGCTGTTTTAAGCTTCTTACAATGTATTTGAGATTATGTACCTCTCCCTAGGGCCTAAAATAATGATGTTGTGAGCTGCTGCTTCAACCAGTCCCAGTCCGTGTGGCCAAGGGTTAGGAATCATGGGAGTTGTAGTCCAGCAGCACCTGCTTTCCGCCTCTTGTGTCGGCCTCTAACCAGAACTCCTTTTGTGCTGGGGGTGGAAGCCAAGGGGCTGTTGTCCGTGAGAAATGGCAAAAAACTAAGACTGAGGTCTAGTTTCTCACCACCGGCTATGCACTTAACTCTCTGGCTGACATCCAATTATTTTTTTTAAAAAAGTAGTCAATTCCCCACCCCCACCCTGTGGTTTACATTAAAAATTATGCCACATGATCCTAGTGAGGTTAACTGCTTGCATTCTAACATTCAAGTACATTGATATTCACACCTTTTTCTTCATATCTCTGTAAATGTTTAGTGGCTTACTTAGAAAATTAAACTGTAAATGCAGGGAAGGGTGATTTCATGAGAGGGCCCTCAAAGGCCCTGAGGGGGCCAGAGCCCTGGTGGCAGCAAGAACGGACCCTTGACCTCTGGGGCTGAATGAGCAGTCAGAGGGGAGCGTGTTCCATTCCCAATGGGGGTTTGTGCTCCCCCGAGTGCCCCCCCACCTTCTGTTGCCCTCCAGTGAGAGCTCAATAGCTAAGACTGGTCTTGGCCAGCCTGGTGCCCTCCTGATGGCTGGGGCTGATGGGAGTTGCAGTCCAAGGTAGGTTGTCAAAAGCTGGTTAAAAGTGTTGGACTAGGAATGTGGAGAGCTGGGTTCAAATCCTCACTTAGCCAGTGACCTTGGGACGGTCATACTCTCTCAGCCTAACCTGCGTCACAGGGTGAAGCACTTGAGCTTCTTGAAGGAAATCTGGGGTGCAAATGTAAGAAAGAAAGAAATAGGTCCTGCTTTTTCTGGGGGGGAACTCCAGTCAGGACTTGTTTTTGCCTCCCCAGGTCAGTTTTCACTGCCCATTGACAAGAGGCAGCTCTATGAGTTCGACATCCGGGTGCCGCTGCTGGTGCGAGGTCCAGGCGTCAAGCCAAATCAGACTCACCTGGTGGGTGTCTTCCTTTCTTTCCCCGACTCAAGTGTTTGAGCTGAAGGAGTCCTAACTCAAGTGCTGCTTTCCTTGCAGAAAATCCCAGCTTCTGCCCTGACCATCTCCAGTTAAAAAGATCTCAGGTTGCTGAAGGGGAAAGATTTCTGCCTGAAGCCTCCAGGGACCCTCAATATTAGGCTGTGGCAAAGCCATATCTTCATAAGCTCAGAGCATCTGCCTTGTATGCAAATGTCTCAAGTTAGATCCCTGGCTTCCCACGGTAGGGCTGGGAGAAGACCCCTCCTGAGGTCCTGGAAAGCTTCTGCCAGATAGCGTAAAAAGCAATGCTGAACTGGATGGGCCGAGGGCCTGAGTTGGTAGAAGGCAGCTTCCTGGGTGAGAGTAAAGGTGTCCCCTAAATTTTCAGCCAGGCCTATTTGCTGGATGGTCATTGCACTCAAAGCCTGAATCTCTGTCCCTGTGGACATTTTGTGGAGTTGGGAACTATAGTCAGTTAACTCACTTCCAAACATGTAGAATTCTAACATTTCCAGAATAAAGCTGAGTTAGAACCTTCCTTCCTGACATACTACTTTTCTACTGTCAAGAGTTTGATTTTTTAGCATCTTTTTATTTTTCAAATTGTAACAACAAAAACAGCCTATTAGATAAAATGAACCATTCTGGTGAATGCACAGGCATGTATCCCATTTTACAATAAATGTCCAGCGTATAATTCCAAGTGGCTTTGTCACATACTGTACAGTCAGGAGGTTTTGATTCTTGTGTCGATCTCTGTGTCTTCTTCTTTCAACTACTATATGTTTTGGGAAACTGTCTGTTGCTATGCATTTGGAAACCTCTTAACCAAATTTTACGTGATAGTTCCTGAATCCAACCATGTGGTTTTTGTCTGAATAAAGTTGGGTGTCATTTTGAAATGAGATGGTGGGCTGAACCTTCCAAAAGGGCACTTTTTAGTTTCTTGGCATTCCTAGGCTACTATGAAGAAATAATTGCCTTGAACTGGATAGCTGGATGGCTTCTGTAACTCTGTCCCATGTTGTCTTCCTCTCAGCAACCTGTCCTCAACATCGATCTGGGGCCCACCTTCCTAGATATCGCAGGTATCGATGCATCTCAGACCTCCATGGACGGACAGTCTTTCTTGCCCCTGTTGGTAATAATTTGCCCAGAACCTTCTAGAATAAACAGGGGAATTTTGTGTGTGTGTGTTGAATAAAGGAGTTATCTGGAGTCCTGTAGACAAGCAAATTTTCAAACTTTACACAGTATTCTTTCTGCCAAAGGATCCTTTGCTCAGAACTCTTGTCATGTAAGTCCTGAAGGAAACTCTGCTATGGACAACGATGCGGCTGGAAATAACTCCACATCTTCAGTTTCTGTGCATCATTGGAAGCAAAAGACTCTCAAGCTCCTTTTGCAGATTGCTTGCCTTGAGAGTCTTGTTGTGTACAAGGAACTTGAGACTTCCCTGGCCTCTTCCCTGACAGCTGCATGTTGAGGGTGGATATCTGCAATATGTCCCAGCTGGGGCTGATGAGAGTTGGAGTTCAAAATCCCCAGAGGACCCCAGGTTGGCCTAGGTGAAGCCTGCACATCCACACAGAAGCAGCCCTGTTTTTTTAATAGAATAAAGCCAGAGGTTTTTGCTTGAAGGGGATTCTGGGCTCTGGGGGGGAAGTGTGGGCTGCCATATGCATTTGGTGTCCATGAGCAATAGATGCAGCGTAGGAAGTGCATTTTGAAGCATATGGTATGGCAGAAACAACGAACTGTGCTATAAGAATTGTGGTATGCATGACATTTTGGAAGTGGGACTAGATTGCTGCTGGTGGGCCTCTGGCTGCCGCTCCCTTAGCTGGCTTGTGCCTTTCTCTGTCCTTCCTGCTGCTGCTGTGGGACTTCTGCAGACCCCTTGGAGCTCCCACGCAAACTCTAGAGCTGGAATGGGGAGTGTCGGCCCTTCAGCTGTTGCTGGACTACAACTCCCATTGTCCTTTGACCCTGCTGTCTGGGGATGATGCGAGTGGGAGTCCCTACAACTGGAAGGTCACAGATACCCTATCCCTGCTCCAGAGCACACCTTCACCTTCACCTGTGGCTGTATTCTTGACATGCAACAGTAGAGGGGACAGGCTGCCATTTCAGGGCATTTGCTCTGGATGTCTAGACTGGGCCAGAAAACCCAGAGAGCCCTGTCAGGGATGTGGTCTTGAGAGTTTTTATTTTTATTTGTCACAGCGGGTGATGCTTTCTGAAATGTGTTTCCTTGGCTCCAGGTGAACAAGACGCACAAGAGCAAGTGGCGGTCAGATTTCCTGGTGGAATACACTGGTGAAGGCCACACTCACCAAGACCCCCACTGCCCTGCCTTGGGGCCAGGCGTGTCGGTGAGTGCTTGCTCTGGAGGCACAGAGATGCCTAGAGCACTCTGCATTTCTTACAAATGTCCAAATCTTCTGCTACAAGGGAAACTGGATCCTGCAGACTGCCTAGAAATTATACACAGGATGCAAAGTGGCATAAATCTGCTGATTGTGTCTGGAGGGGAGGATTTCACCCCAAAAATTTACTTGATTTGACCATGGGGTACTCAGTGTGGTTCCCCTTGGTGCCTCCCAATGATTACAGTTTTTTAAAAAACAAGGCGCTGCCCCCCTTCTTGGCCTGCTTTCCCAGTCTCCTTTCCTCCTGACCAAGCCCCCTCCCTTTACACCTCCTCCACAGCTTGCCCCACCTCCTTTTAAAGGAGCAGGAGAGCCTACTTCTAAGTAGACATGTTTACACAGCACCTCTCCCCTTCCCCTCGTGCCACATGCTCTACTTCCTCATTCACCTGCCCGCTTGCAGCTGTTATGCTGCAGGTGGCAGCGTGATGACAGTCTTACATTTTTATGTATATAGGAAGAAATAAGGTTTTTTCTGTGGAGACAGGAATTGTCTGGGGTTGTTTTTTTTTTTTGGTTCTCGCTCTCTCTTTTAGTTATTGCTTTCTGTTCTCCACCCCAGATTTAGAGTGTTGGACTAGACCTGGGTTCAAATCCCCAGTCTGCCCTGGCACTCACCAGGTGACCTTAAACTAGCCACTCTCCCACAGGGTTGGTTTTAGATGGAGGAAGGGCAGGATAAAAAATGTAACAAATGAGCTCTGCCTAGCTTTACTTTTCAAGAGAGGGATGCCTTGTGCAGCAGAGGACCAGGTCCTGCTCTGCCGCTCCCCCAGAGGTGGTGCTAAAGGGAGGTGCAGGCTTTGGCCTCTGCAGTAGGAAGTTTTGCCCTCAGGCTTGCAGGGCTTGAAATTTGCCTATGCAAAGGGGATTTGCTCACCTTAGTTTACATAAAGTCTGCTTCAGCCTCAGTCCCCCTGCCCACAGCACTGAGCCAACACTCTTCTCCTCATTCCTGCATGTGGATCTTGCAGTCCACATTCCCAGCTCCCACCTCATCTCCCACTTAGAGTTTCCAGTTGCTTAGCACAGGTTGGAATTAGGCCTTTTGCCCATCACATTGGGGTTGTGCTCAGATTAGACCCTTTGAAATTAGTGGCCCTAAATTAGGCATGTCCATTGATTTCAGTGGGTTAGAGACAACCCCACGTGTCTGGACCAGAAGTGCGTCCAAACCTGCTTTCTTTTTTCTTTTTTTTTTACATGTCCAAAATAAATTTTTATTAAGTTTTGCACAAATATCGCCAATCAAACAATTTCACAAAGAACATATTTTCATCTTTTGGACTTCCCTCAGCTTCTCTGACAAGCATCCGTATTTAAATTTTTATCTACGCATTCCCAAAATTTAGTATCGCCTTTTAAAATACCTTTTCAAACATATTTACATTCTTGCAATATTCCTTATATTTTCACAAAGCTTCTTTAAAACCCACTAGCGTTGTTTGTTCATCACATACACTCTTCAAATAATCTGTAAATTTTCCCCAGTCCTCAATGAACTTGTGATCTCGTTGATATCTTATTTTTCCAGTTAGTTTGTCCAGTTCTGCATAGTCCATTAACTTCATTCTCCATTCCTTCAGAGTCCAAACCTGCTTTCAAAGGGTTGAAAGAGAGTGGGGGAAGGGCTGGAAGTTGTGTTCTTTGGAAACCCAGGACCTGCACAATGCTGCAGTACAGCATGCTTCAGCCACCCTTGCCCTCTTCAGGAGACTCCATTCCATCCCCTCCTCCTGTGGAATGCTCAGCAAGGCCACTGAGCACACTCAGCCCTCACTAGGCCTGTTTTGAAAAGGGCAGGCTACCTTCTCAGGCCCCCTCCCCACAAAAAAAGTGGGCAAGGGGCATAGCTCAGTGATAGGGACTTCTGCTGTGTGGATAAAAGGCCCCAGGTTTGATCCCTGCCTCTTGGAGAGCTGCTCCCAGTCCATGTAGACAGTTCTGAAGCAGATGGACCAGCGGTCTCCCTTGGTATCAGGATGCTTCTGATTCTGGGTATTTCTGCCCCCCTTGTCTCCCTCGTGTTCCTCAGGGGCGCCATGGGCGCTCGCCGGCTGAGTTTGTTGTTGGGGGGAATGTTGCAGTCTTGGGTAGGTGTTAGATTTGAATAAAGCCTCTCTCCCCCTCTCTCCCTTTGGCAGCAATGCTTCCCTGACTGTGTGTGCGAGGATGCCTTCAACAACACCTATGCCTGTGTGCGCACACTCAGCCCCATCAACCTGCAGTACTGTGAGTTTGCGGATGCCCAGGTGAGCCCCGCCTGCCCCTCCTGTCCTGACCCAGGCCCAGAGCGAGGGCCACACCCTTTCCCTGTTGATGGTCAGCAGTGGCCTCCAAGGGATGCTGCCACACAGCAACCTTTTTCAGAACTTCCCAGCCTCTTCATGCAGACGTCATTCACTGAGGAACCATAGCAGAGGAGTCTGGTGCATATTCTGGGGTGCACGTGTAGATCACAGAAGGGTGTGCCCAGGACCAGCCAGCCCTCACTCTTGGCCTGGGTCAGGCTTAGCTTTAAAATATTCCGTTGAATTGAATTTGTTTCCAGCCTTTCATCACAAGTTCCCAGGGTGGGGTGCATACATGCAGTAGAACATATGAAATACAATTAAAGCACTGCTTAAAACCATAATTGAAACTCAAGAATCATTACTGTGCAGAAGTGGCAAGGGGAACAAGCTGATCTAAAATAGCTCCCCAAAGCCTGGGAGAAGAGGTGTCTCCCCCCTAAGGGACGCAAAGAGTCCAACGCCAGTGCCAGATGTACTTCTGAGGGGAGGGAGTTCCATAACTGGAGAGTCACTTCTCTCACTTCACTTCACCACTTCACCACTGGTAGGGCCTCCTCTGCTGATCATAACATTCAGGCTGGTCTGTATGGGACAAGGCACTTCTTCAGGTATTTCGAACCCAGGTCATTTAAGGCTTTCTACATTAACATAACCAGCTTAAATTTGGATCAGAAGCAAACTGGCAACCAGTGCAGGTCTTTTAGGACAGGAATAGTAGGTGCCCTGCTGGCTGGATGCTGATCTATTGCAGCAGTTGCAGCTTCTGAACTGTCTTCAAGGGCAGCCTCACATATAGTTCATTGTAGTAGTAGAAGTTGTTGAGGATTTTGTCTTCTTTCCTTTAGCAAATTCTGACTTCTGCCCCTCCCCTTGGGGGGGACTCTCTTTCTCCCTGACTTTTCTCTTGCAGAATTTTGTAGAAGTCTATAACCTGACTTCAGACCCACACCAGCTCTTCAACGTGGTGAAAACTGTGGACCCTTCACAGCTGGAGCAGATGAACCAGAGGCTGATCAAGCTGCAGGCCTGCTCTGGGGTCACCTGCCGCTCCTGAGGGAGCAGCAGCACAGCTCTTGCTGTGGGTCTGTGCCGAGGGGAACATGGAGCCCACTCTGGGTCTCTCCTTTCTTGCTCTCTCTCTCTCCATTTACTGGCCTCCCCTCTTTTCTCTGCTCTTAAGCCAAAGTTGATGCTGATTTTCCCCTTTCTGGATCCTTTCCTGGAGGGTGTGGTTGGCAGAAGAGAGGGAGAGAGGGATGGGGAGTAAAAGTGCCTGTGCCAGATTTCCCCATCAAAATGCTCCAATATCCCATCCTGCCTCTTGCTGCTCACCTACACCTTGCCTTTGCCACCAGACTTGGCAACTGGCAGGTCAGATTTCACCACCGGGGGGGGGGGCAGGACTGATACCTAGACTGTCAGTTGCTGACCAGCACCCCCACTCTCAGGGGTTCCCCATGGCCAGCTGGTGAAAGATTGCTTCCCCTCCTCTCCCCTGCCTTGTTGGGGGTGTATGGGATCTCACCTTTAATCACGAATCAGTATTGCAGATTCTGCCCTGCAGCTCCTTTTTCCCCCCAGAGAGCTGGAGGTGCTGCCTGTCCTTTTGTGACTGTCATGTGCCTTGTAACTCCTCCGCTTTGAGAAGTTCTGATTCTGATCAACTCCTGCAGCAGCTCGGGCAGTTGCTGTGTTGTCTCGCCTGTGCCTCTCTGAAAAGAAATAGAATGGAATAAAGGACTTGTTTGTTAGAAAAACTGATCTGGACTTTGCATGGACTGTAATGGCTACGGCTCTATATGTGGAGAGACAGGAGCCGGACCTCAAGAGCCTCACAAAGACCTGCTTTCTTACAGTAAATGTCATTTCCTGCAGTTGTGCTGGTTTAAAAAATCCACGGTGTCAGCTGCGAGTACTGACTGACTTCTGAGAAGAGAGTCATGTACCCAACAGTGTTTGGGGAACCTGTAACATTCATTCTGGGCTGTAACCCCATCCCCTTCCGCAGTGGCGTAGCGTGGGTTGTCAGCACCCGGGGCAAGGCAAGTAATTTGCGCCCCCTAACCCGTGGGTTTGCGCCCCCTAACCCTAACCCCCAGATGTTGCGCCCGGTGCGGCCGGCCCCCCCTGCACCCCCCACGCTACGCCACTGCCCTTCCGTAAGGGGAGGTATCCGTGCCATTGTTGCATCATCAGCTTTTACACCAATCCCAAACCACATCTCAGCCCTATTTGCATGTTTCATAACCAACATACCTGGCACTAAGGGAAGGAGGCAGAATTTGGGGCAGGAGGGATGTTCTCTCCAAGGGTTGGGGAATTTTGCTCACTCTTTAAGGGCTTCCTTATCTCCCCATCACTGTTATTTTTCTAATCCTAGAAGACCTTCACACACACACCCCTCCAGCAGCCTCTGGCAAAGGTGTGCATTTGCAAGCCAGATCCTGAGACCTTGGGGTGCAAATGAAAGGTTTTTATTGGGTCCCAATGCATGCCCATGGACTGGGCTTAGCCAGCTGGACACATGTACCAAAGCAGGGTTAGAGAGCCAGTCTCTGGGGCCTCCCATTAGCCCCTTGCCCTGTTCCTCCACAAGCAGTTTTTAGGCTTGGGAGGAAAGCCTTTTCTTGGAGCCAAGAGAGAACTTTTTCCAAGCCAAATTACGGTGCAGGTAGGGGCATTTACCTCTGTGCGAAACCTTCATGGAGAGCTATACCTGAAAACTGTTAACAAACTGATTTCTTCCTTTGATTTTCTATCCCACCCATAGTTGGGACTGCAAAAGCATTAAGAAACCCAAAGCCTGAAAATCATTCTGTCTTGTAGCGGGGGTGGGGAACCAGCTTCTGCCTGAGAATGACATTTCCTTCTGGACCATCTTCCAGGGCCACATGTCCACAGTGGTGGGCTGGGCCTGAGACACAAAGAGGCCAGAGCAAGGAATAGAAATGTTACCTCTGTACAGGCTCCATGCGCAGTCTCTCTAACCTCAGCAGAAGTAAGGATCGGGGTCCAAGGACACATTCCAGGCCGGCAGAAACACTCCGGGAGAGCACGAAGCCAGCGCTAGGGAGAAGTGTGTTCTCGAATGAGCCCTGAGGGTCAGATGAGAGAGGTCTGGTCCCTGAGACAGAGTCTCCCCATAATCTCATTTCTGGTGTGCCATCATTGCACAGAGCTGGAAGCAAAAAATGTGCCTGAAAGAACTGAAATCATCATTATGGATGAAATTTATGAGTTGCCTTTTATTTAACCAAAAGTACTGCAAAGCAATTTACAACAATGATTAAAGAGCATTTATGTTAAAACTATAAAACAAAACAGAAAAATCTTTCAAATGTATTTTTAAAAGGCAGAATTAAAGCAACCCATCCACTAAAAGAGGCCATATATCATTAAAAGCCAAAGTCCCGGCAGAAGAGAAATGATTATTTGGTCAGATAATTTGTTAGGTTGAAATTGTTTAATAAAAATATTTTTTTTAAAAAAGAAATGTTTTTGCCTAGTGCATATGGATGTGTAATTATGGGTTGATTGATAGATCTGTTCTACAAATATGTACTCAAAGTAGCTTTCAGAGTCCTAAAAGCAATACACAATAATGTGCCACATTACAATATCACATGATATATTTAAAAGCAGTGATACAAATTGCTATAGGGGCATTTCATGTTTCTTCATTCACTCACCTTTTCATCGAGTTGTTGCCCTGTGTTTTCCCCATTCTGCTTCCATTTCTCCTGCTTGGAAAGGCTAGCAGAGCAAGGCAGTTTCTCTCAGCTGTGAGGGACCTCAGTGCTGCGATTCCTCTTGTCTTGGCTTTGACATGTGACAGATCAGGACAGATCAGATCTACAGCCACTTGCCAAACCATCACAAATACTTTTCTGGTTGGTGCCATTATAACACAGACACACACTTTTTTAAAGCAACACTTTAATTAGCACAAAAAATGGTTATTTAAAATGTAAAATTTGTGCAATTGCACTAAAATGAAAGAGAATTGTAATCCTATTTTTAAATATATGTATTTTAAACTCGTTTAAACCCTTATATTTATCATTCTAGTGATGTGCGTGTTTCAAATTTACTCTTAACATGCTAGTTAACTTTTTAAAAAATTGTACAAGTCCTGAAGAGTAATTGGGAAATGACATTTAAATAAGCATAAATTAGTACAGAAGGCTGATTCAAACATTATTTTTAAAGGTTGCTTCAGTGGTAGAGTCTCCTTACTTCAACATCTCAGGTAAGGCTGGGAAGATCCCACTTGGAGCGGACCTTGGGGCTCTTTGGTAGTGGGCGCCCTGAGCAAGGCCACAATTTGGCGCCCCCAAATGGATCTTCTCAGTGAGGGATCTTCTCAACTGTGCGCCCCCTTGGCTTGGCGCCTTGTATGGGGCAACCTCCCACACCGCCCTCAATTTATTGGTGTTGCCAATACCAATGGTCAGCTTAGGTATAAGGCAGCTGCTCTCTGTGGGATCATCCCCACTCTTTTTGTCCCAAAATCTCTTCCATTTGTCCTGTCAGGTTCCCTGGAAAACCCACTGTTTACCGCTGAATCGGAACAATTGCCAGTTTGCAGAAAACCTCACTGATGTTTGCTTTGATTCAGCAGTAGACTGGGACCATGACTGTCATCTAGTCCCAGACCCTGCAATGCAGGAATCCCAGCTAATGTATCAAGGACAGATGACCATCCAACCTCTGCTTGAAAACCTCCAAGGAAGGAGAGTCCATCACCTCTCGTGAGAGTCTGTTCCACCGCTGAACAGCTCTTACTGTCAGAAAGCTTTTCTGAATGTTATGTTGGAATCTTCTTTCTTGCAACTTGAAGCCATTGGTTCGAGTCCTACCCTCCAGAGCAGGAGAAAACAAGCTTGCTCCCTCTTCCATATGGTAGCCCTTCAGGTATTTGAAGATGGCTCTCATATCTCCTCTCAGTCTCCTCTTCTTCAGACTAAACATACCCAGCTCCTTCAACCATTTCTCATAAGACTTGGTTTCCAGACCCTTGATTATCTTGGTCACCTTCCTCTACACACCTTCCAGCTTGTCAACATCCTTCTTAAATTGTGATGCCCAGAATTGGACCCAGTATTCCAGATGTGGTCTAACCAAGGAAGAATAGAGTGGGACTATGACTTCTCTTGACTGGGACACTAGAGACTTCTGTTGATGCAGCTTAGAATAGCATTAGCTTTTTTTGCTGCTGCTTCACACTGTTTACTCATGTTCAGCTTGTGGTCCATCAAGACCCTAGATCCTTTTCACATGTACTGCTAGTAAGCCAGGTGTCCCCCTTCCTATATTTGGGCATCTGGTTCTTCCTGTCCAAGTGCAGAACCTTACATTTGTCCCTATTGAAATTCGTTTTGTTAGCTTGCACCCAGTTCTCCAATCTGTTAAAGTAATTTTGAATTCTGATTTTGTTTTCTGCAGCATTAGCTACCCCTCCCTTCTTTTTAAGCTCCCCCCCCCTTTGTTGTTGCCATTTCTGTGTAAATCTATCCTTTGGAAGGTGTATGCAAATATGAGGCACAGTGGTGTTTTGTGCCTGCTCGGCAAGGCCAGGCCCCCATTTGCATGGCCCCTGGCTGGGCTGAGTGGAGCTCCACTTCTTCCACAATGGTAAGATGGTCGTTTGCTTTCTGCCCAGGTATTTTAGGGTTGGTGTTCGGGAGAGCTTTCTGCTGGGAATCTGGGTCAGTGAAAAGTGAGTCCAACCGTGTGGCTTGTGGGGACTTATTTTTTAAAATGGCAAACTGATAGAGAAATGTGGTAAACAGAAGATTTGAAAAATGAGAAAATGAAATCGACATTCCTAGATGTTACCAAAGCCTAATAAAAATTGTGGTAACCATCTCTACGCTTCTTGTTTCAGAGAAGCTGTCTTCTTTGGGAATAAAATGTCCTATGCAGTTGGTGGTCCTCCTCTGCCCCTCAGTTGTCAGGGGACTGGAACTGTGACTGATTTCATGTCACATCTGTTAAACACTGAGGACTGGCAGCTGCCACTATAATGGGTGGAGAGTACGTGAAGAAGGACGTGCACATTGCAAGGTCTGCCCAGGCTGGGCAGGAATATAAGGCACCTCATCATGTGAACTCTTTGTAGAGGTGCATTACAGACTGTGGGATTCATATGACTGGGTCAGGCCAATCCACAGTTGCTTCTGTATTGCTTTTTACTGCAGGATTGTTATCCTTTGTTCACTCACATTTTACAGAGCATCCGCGCAACGTTGTCATCACATCATTGCATTCCAGTGTTGTCTGTGTTGTCCTCCTGGGCTTTTTGAGACTTGGTTATTTGTGTTGTCTGTGTGCTTAAAAATGCAACTCTGACATAAGTGTGTACTGGAACTATTTTGGGAGGGGGGTGTTAAATTCCTGGTTTCATTCCAATATTTCTTTTCTCTTTTTTCCCATTAAAGCAAAACTGTACTATTTTAGAAGGTGGTATAGAAGGGACTATTAAACACTTGAGTTGCTTAACCTCAAGGCATGCATCCCCATAAGCACCACCACCTCCAAAATACTGTAGTCTCTATTGGGCCACCTGCACCCTGCACCAAAAAAAGCACCCTCAATATTCTGTAGCTTTTTCATGTGAGTCCTTATATGCATCAATCACTACTTAGTTTCCAAGGGACGCAGGTGGCGCTGTGGGTTAAACCACTGAGCCTAGGACTTGCCGATCAGAAGGTTGGCTGTTCAAATCCCCGCGACGGGGTGAGCTCCCGTCTTTCGGTCCCTGCTCCTGCCCACCTAGCAGTTCGAAAGCACATCAAAGTGCAAGTAGATAAATAGGTACCGCTCCGGCGGGAAGGTAAACGGCGTTTCCGTGCGCTGCTCTGGTTCACCAGAAGCGGCTTTGTCATGCTAGCCACATGACCTGGAAGCTGTACGCCGGCTCCCTTGGCCAGTAAAGCGAGATGAGCGCTGCAATCCCAAAGTCGGTCACGACTGGACCTAATGGTCAGGGGTCCCTTTACCTTTACCTTTATTTTGTTTCCAAACAGTTTGGCTCCATACTACCCAAGGGGATTCTTGATTAACAAATGTAAGAGGAAGATTTTAATTTTGTTTTCTCTCTATAATTTCCTTTCCTTCTTTTTGCAGAACATATTTGGGAAGAATAAGACTCCGTGAGCAACCTTTTATTGACTTGTGGCTCATACTCAACTGCAAGCAGAAAAGTGGGCTTAGAATCATAGAGCCATAGAATCGTAGAATGGCAGAGTTGGGAGCATAGGTGTAGCCAGGAATTGTGTTGGGGGTAGAACTGAGCTATCTGCTACGTGATTGGTCACTTAGTTACGTCTTTTTATTTATTTACTTGATGAGGGGGGGGAGCTCTTACCATCAGAAACTTTTCCCTCACATTTAGTCAGAATCTCCTTTCATGTAATTTGAATCCATTTGTTTGGGTCCCGCTCTGGAGCAGCAAAAAACCCAAGCTTATTCTATTCAGTATGGCAGTCCTTCAGATATTTGAATAAGGTTATTATATCACTTCTCTTATCCATGCTAAGCAAACCCAGCTCCCTCAACCATTCCCCACAAGGCTCGGTTTCCAGACCCTTGATCATCTTAGTCACCCTCCTCTGCACACCTTACAGCTTGTCAATATCCTTCTTAAACTGTAGAAATGGGCACAGTATTCCAGGTGTGGTCTGACCAAGGAAGAATAGAGTGGGACTATGGCTTTCCTTGCTTTGGACATTATACATATGTTGTTGCAGCCCAGAATTGCATTAGCATTTTTTGCTGCTGCAATCACACTGATGACTCATGTTAAACCTGTGGTCCACCAAAACCCCTAGATTCTTTTCACATGTACTACAGGCAATCCAGGTGTCTCCCATCTTACATTTGTGCATCTGGTTCTTCCTGCCTAAGTGCAGAATCTGACATTTGTCCCTATTGAAATTCATTTTATTAGTTTTGACTCAGTTCTTTACTTTGGTAAGATCCTATTGAACCTGGTTCTATCTTAGCTAGGTACCTCTCCTAGTTTAGTGTCATCTTCAGATCTGATGAGCATCCCCTTAATTCCTTCATTCAAGTCATATCCAAAGATGCTGAGCAACACTGGGCCTGTGGAACCCCATTTGTCCTTTTTCCCTCTTCATCCTTTATTCCACTATCACCAGGTTGGGCACTGTTCTCCTTTAGGAAGAAGACAGAGGCAGGTACAGGTTGAACAGTTCTGCCTTCTCTCTGTCATCCAACAGCATTTCTCTGTCTTCTCCATGCAGAGGGGCTACCACTGGCTTGCTCTTCCTCTTGCTTCAAACATAGTCGAAGAAACCTTTTTATTATCTTGAACCTCCTTGCAAGCTTGAGCTTGTTCTGAGTTTTAGCCCACCTGGCCTTCACCCTGCAAGTGTTGGCTACTCATTTATATTCTTCCTTCGTGATTTGCCCCTTCTTCCATTCCTTATATGTGCCTCTTTTAAATCTCAGCTCATCTGCAAGCTCCTTATGCAGTCACATGGTTGTTTTTTAGATGTCTCCCACTTTTCTTTCTTGTAAAAAATGTTTGCAATTGTGCCTTCAGTATCTCACCTTTAAGAAACTCCATCCATCACCGACTCCCTTCTCTTTGAGTTTTCAGATCATGGGATTTCACCCAGTAATTCCTTAATCATTTTGAAATCAGCTTTCTTAAAGTGCAGTGTGTGTGTCCAGCTACACTCAGCTTTTCCTTTCCTCTGTCCAGTGGTACCTCGGGTTACATAGGCTTCAGGTTACATGCGCTTCAGGTTACAGACTCCGCTAACCCAGAAATAGTACCTCGGGTTAAGAACTTTGCTTCAGGATGAGAACAGAAATCGTGCTCCGGTGGTGCGGCGGCAGCAGGAGGCCCCATTAGCTAAAGTGGTGCTTTAGGTTAAGAACAGTTTCAGGTTAAGTACGGACCTCCGGAACAAATTAAGTACTTAACCCGAGGTTCCACTTTATAATGAATCCCAAGAGGACGTTGTCACTTTCTCCCAAGGTTCCCATTACTTTCACCTCATTGATCAGTTCTTAGCTGTTAATAAGGTCCAAAATAGTTGACCCCCTTGCTGCTTTTTCCACCATCTGGGAAATGAAATAGTGACTGGAGGGTTCACTCTTCAGTGTGTTGAATAAGGGTTAAGGTATAATTGTGATAAAGAGATTGGTATTCTTGTCCTCTTTCCCCCCTTCTTCTTTTCTTTTTCTTTTCTCTCTTTTTTCTTCTCTTCTTTTGTTTCTTTGCTATCTTTCTCTCTTAGATCAGCCTGGCTTTTGTTGTATTTTATCTTGAAAACTTTCAATAGAAATTGATTCTTAAGAAAAACACATTGCCCATCCCCAGAGGATTGTACAAGGCACAGAGGTTCTTCCATAGACGGTTTGCTGGGGAAAGGAGGAGGGTCCTGAGGGAAGACTATGTCTAATGCACTGCTACAGAGCATCTCTAGCAGATACTTGTTCAGTCCTTTTTGGACACAACTACCCAGAGCCAAGTGGAAGAGGAACAGGGAGGTTGCCATCTTATCTCATGATGCTTCTGAATGTCTAATTTTGTTCCTGCCCTTCTTGAAAGGTCCAGAGTCCCACCTGTGCCTCCCAAGCGACCAGGTAAGCAGTGGAGTACATTACACAGGGATGCCTGTGTTGCGTTCATCACAAAGAAGTGGGGTGTGCGTGTCCCCTTTTAACTCTCAGCCCCTTAACAAACTTCAGCTCCCAGAAATCTTTGGGGAAGCCATGGCTGTGTATCATAATGCTTTAAACATTTGGTGCAAATGTGACCTTAGAATATAAGGAAGCCTCCAAAACTCCTTTATTGCGGTGTCCTTAAGTCCCTGGGCACAAAGGCCATCAGCCCCTTTGAGCTGAGCTGCCCAGTTATGCTTTCAGTGGTGTTTTCCAAAGCCTTGAGAGACTGAATCTGTTTATTAATATGAAAGTTTTAAATGGTACCTTATGATACTTGTTGATTTTGTTGCTGATGTCTGTTTTTTTGGGAAACACTTTGTGGGAAGTTTTGATAAAAACATGGCTGAGCCAAAGCCCTTTGTGTGTTTCAGAGAAACAGCTGCAGGGGGTAAGTATTCTGCACCACCAGCCAGCTCCCAGCACTCTCCCTGCCATCTTAACCCCAGAGCCCTCTTGACATCACCCCTAGATAGCCCCCTAGGGCAGACCATCTTTATGTTCAAGAGTGAACCTGAATTTCTCTACTTGCTTCCCCCTTTTCCTTGGGGAGGGGGTTGTGTGTGCACTTGCCACCCAGTCATAGCAAAGGCAAAACCTGAATCCTGGGAACTATTGTTTGTTAACGATGCCAGGATTGTAGCTCTATTAGTGTTAAACTACAGTTCCCAATATTCTCTGAGGGGAAAAAGGCACTTTCAATGCATGCTGCACACTCTCAGGTGGATGTCCTCTGGACCTGGCTATTTGCTGGCTTCGATTTTGTTCATAAGCGGTTTCTTTTGTGGCTGCTCCCTAGCCTTCCATGACTGCAACACAGCCTGGACCACCGCATATTTGGGAATGTGAGGGCCTCACCCAGCTTCCTCCTTCCATTCTTGTAGGTTCCCAGTGATACTCAAGAGGAGGAGGAAGACGATCTGTATACATATGAAGTGCCCCCAAGCAAAGGGCAGAGCAAGCAAATGGTTCCAGCGCTTGCAGAGAACATATATCTTGGTAAGTTGGGAAGGGTGGGTAAGACTCTGGAAACGGGACTCTCCAGAGTATTGGGGGGGGGATGTGATTTAGTTTACACTGATAGGCAAGCCTGCCTATTTTGAACTTTCTGAAATAATATGTGAACCAAAGCACAGCCCTCCTTTGAAGGCGGCAGTTCAATGCAGTTCTCCAGCCAAGTAATGTGCATAAAAAATGCATATACTGGGGCAAAGTGTCCACAAAATTGCACATACTGGTGGAAATAGCATACAAAAGGGCATATAAGGGGAAATGGCTTTGCAAAAAATGTGTTTATCAGGCAGAATTGCAAACAAAGATGGGGTGGACTAGATGATCCTCGGGTCTATAATTCTATATTAGGAGCAATTAAAAATGAAACGTTGCTGGATTTTTATGAGGACTTTTTAAAAAATGGCAAACTGATGTGGGAATGTGGAGAAATAAACTTAAGAGTGGAAAAATGAGGAAACAGAATTAACTGAGATATTCCCCCATCCATACTCTGGAGCCATCATCACAACCAGCAAATTTCCCTGTGCCATTTTGATTAAAAAACTGGTTAATTGCAGGTTAAATGACAGTACTGCCAGGTAGGCTTATTCCAAGTTGGAAAACTGTACGCAGAGAGTGCTCATCAGTGAATCTTAACCGTGTGTCCGTAGGTGACTGTGGAGGCCAATTCTGGATCCACACATCCTTTCACAGTGGGGACATAGGTTTTCAGGCGGGAGTTGATCATGGCGAGGGTTTGCCAAGCATGCCTTCCTCTTCACACACCTCTTCCCCTTTCTTCCTGAGTTTGAGCATCTTCAAAGTCCATGACACCTTTGGTAAAGGCTGTTCTCCAATTGGAGCGCTCGAGGGCAGTGTTTCCCAGTTGGCAGTGTTTATACTACTTTTTTTAAAGATTTGCCTTGAGAGAGTCTTTAAACCTCTTTTGTTGACCTTCAGCATTACACTTTCCATTTTTAAGTTCAGAATAGAGTAGTTGCTTTGGAAGACGATAATCAGGCATCCGCACAACATGACCAGTCCAACCAGCTTGATGTTGAAGAATCACTGCTTTGACACTGGTGGTCTTTGCTTTCTCCAGGACACTGGCATTAGGATTCTTAACAAATGTGCAAATGATGCACAACTGCTTTGCAGATGGTTGGGGACATGGAGGGGAAGGGCTGAAGGAACTGGATATGGACAGCCTAGAGAAGAGAGAACTAAGAGGGCACAATGATCAAGTATCTGCCTGTCACACAGAAGAGAGCAAGGACTTCTTCTCTTCTGCCACTCAGAGGGCAGAACTAGATGGGTTTGAGCTGCAGGTGGATTTTGGCTGAACATTAGAAGAACTTTCTTGACAATAAGGATAGGGGACAGTTCAGTTCAGTTCATATCTATAAAGCAGTGTTTCCCAACCGGTGTTCCGCGGCACACTAGTGTGCCGTGAGACCTTGCCTGGTGTGCCGTGGGAGGGAGGCGGGCGGCGAGAGGCGGGGCGGCGGCGGCATCTCCTGCTGGATGCAAATCCAAACATGGCGGGCGCCTCCCTCGCTCCTTTGTAGGCGGACCATTGAGAGAGAAAGAAAAGGAGGCGAAAGAGCGAGAGAAGGCGCCTGCGCGGAAAGAGGAGCGAGCAGTGCGCCTGCGCGCCGCGGCGCCCGAGATCGCTTTTCCCCACCGCCCCTTGCTCCCCGCAGCCCCTTGCTTCAAAAGAGGTCCGGGGGCAGCGGGAAGCGCAGCGCTTCTTCCCCGCTGCCCCCGGACCTCTTTTGAAGCAAGGGGCTGCGGGGAGATCGCTTCTCCCGGTGCTCCGAAGCGGGGCGGGGGGGCGGGAACACCTGCCCCAGCCGCCCCGCTTCAGAGCGCTGCTCCGAAGCGGGGCGGGAACCTCGCACCCCGCCGCCGGGCATCGGAACGATGCCCCGATGCCGGGCGGTGGGGCGGGAACCTCTCACCCCGCCGCCGGGCATCGGAACGAGGTCCTGGACCTCTTCTGAAGGCAGGCGGGGGCAAAAGTCTTTGCTCCCCCCGCCTGCCTTCCCGGGACAGCGGAGACTTCTCCGCTGCCCCGGGCGATCTTAAAATGCTGGCGGGCGGGAGCGAAGCGTTCGCTGCCGACCCCCAGCATTTTAAAATCTCCTCGGGGCAGCGGAGACTTCGCTCCCGCCCGCCAGCATTTTAAAATCGCCCCGGGACAGCAGGGGCTTTTAAAATGCTGGCGGTCGGCAGAAAAGCCCTCCTGTCCCCGGAGCTTGCGGGGCGGGAGGTGGGAAGAAGGGCTTTTCTTCCCACCGCCAGCCTTCAGAACAGCCTTCTGAAGGCTGGCAGTGGGAAGAAAAGCCCTTGTTCCCCCCCCCCCCAGCCTTCAGAAGAGGTCGGGGGACAGACTGTCCCCGGACCTGGTCTGAAGGCGGTTTCCCTAGGAACGCATTAATTGATTTTCAATGCATTCCTATGGGAAACCGTGCATCGCAAGACGAAAAACTCGCAAGACGAAGAGACTTGCGGAACGAATTAATTTCGTCTTGCGAGGCACCACTGTACTTTTTATATAGTCAATATAGGCACAGAGTTAAATTTTTTAACATTTTCTAATGGTGGTGTGCCTCGAGATTTTTTTCATGAAACAAGTGTGCCTTTGCCCAAAAAAGGTTGGGAAACACTGCTATAAAGAAGCCTACCTAATTTAAACTTTCCTAAACACTATGCAGACAGAAACACAGCCATTCGAAATTGCAGTTGTCCAGCCAAGTAGCATGTACACAAATACATACACTGGGATTAAGTTTCCATAAAAATGCATATATTTGTGAAAATGATGTAGAAAAATGTATTATATTAGGGGAAATTGCGTTGCAAAATGTGCATATTAGGCAAAAGTACATAAAAACATGTGTTTATGAGGAGAAAATTGTACTAAATAGCTAATGAATTTTCATGAGGATCCAAAATAGCAATAATTACAAACTGATGCAGAAATGTAGAGAACTGAATAGAAGAGTAGAAAACTGAGAAACTGAAAGAAACTGAAATTGGCAGATTTGCCCATCGCTACTTGATAAGAAGATCTGTTTGTCAATGGGATCAGTTACCTAGATGGGTCGAGGTCTCCCTCATTGGAGGTCTTTAAGCAGAAGCTGCACAGGTGTCTGCTGAAGAAGCTCTGTCTCTAGAATACCTGCCTTGAGCAAGGTGACTGCAATCACCTGCAAGCCCCCTCCCCCCTGGATTCTAGAGGGAAGAGGGTGGGTGGGGGGGTGGGTGGAGTGAGCCATGTTGACCAGGAAGAGGAAGGGGAGAAGTGAAAGGTGCTTGTGGGGGCGCAAGAGTTATAGCTGGGACTTGTGATCTCCAGTTCCCTCTCAGGTTGTCTCTCTGCCCTCAGATCGCCCGGCCTTGAGGCGCTTCTCTGAGCCACACAACCTCCTCCAGCCCAAGTCCCTTCCGGTGAGTGATGTGTTGTTTGCACAGGCAGGACAGCTGTGCTCTCCAGACAGCCAAGTATCATCTCTCTGGCTAACTTACAGGGCATTAAAACTGCAGGGAGAAATTGTATGTTCAGCATTTTTAATCATTTTCCTACTTTTTATAAGCTTTAAGTTAAGAAATGAAATCTTTTGGATTTGGGATGTGTCCTTTTTTTTGAAAAGCAAAATTTCTTTTGCACAAGGGCTCAAGACACACAAGGACCTTCTCCAGATTGGTGTTTTTCTGCAGCATCATTGGCCCAAAAAATAGTGTATTAGTATTATTTATACTGAACCGTCCACACTCCCTTCTGTTTTCTTAGTTGTTCTGTGTTGCCTCCCTGGTATCACTGCGTGGGTGTCCCTCCAGATGGCAATAGAGCCCTATAAATATCAGGATAATACCCCACCGTAAATGCATGGCATGAAAAGTTACAGGGCATGTACTGACGGGATGCAAAACTGTATGTCTGGCCACTCCAAAACTTTCACAAGCACAAGCAGTGTTGAAAGCAGGATCTTGTCTAGCCCTACCAATACCACCAGGAGCAGAAATCATCACGAATACAGAATAAAAAGAATGTCTGGAGTGCCCCCATTTCAACGTGAAGCGCAATTCAGTTCTCTTTCATGCCTTGCAGTTCCTGTCCAAGCCTGGAGCAGATGGTGACGACTCCAGTGACGGGACATTCAACTTCCTGGCCATAGAAAGAGGTCAGAGGAAGGGGCTGGGCGGAGAAGGGGAGCAGGTGGAAGGGGGGAGGATGCCTTCCTGGGGACTGAGGATGTCTGAAGAACCTGCAGGATCAGGCCCATGGCCCATCTAGGCAGAGGGCCCTGTGGAACGCCCTCCCATCCGATATCAAAAAAATAAACAACTATCTGACGTTTAGAAGACATCTGAAGGCAACCCTGTTTAGGGAAGTTTTTAATGACTGATGTTTTAATGTATTTTTAATCTTTTGTTGGAAGCTGCCCAGAGTGGTTGGGGAAACCCAGCCAGATTAATAAATTATTATTATTATTATTATTATTATTATTATTATTATTATTATGCCATTCCCTTCTCACAATGGTCAGCCAGATGCCCCAAAGGGAAACCAGCAAGCGGGATCTGAGCCCAAGAACGCTCTCCTCCCACGCAGCTGGTATTCAGAAGCATGGCTGTGGCGGCAGGGCAGAGCCACCAGGACTCGTAGTCCATGAATCCACCCAGTCCTCTTTGAAAGCCACCCAAGGTGGCGGCCACCACTGTGTCCTGTGGCAGGCAGTTCCATAGTTTACCTGTGCGTTGTTCTTTTTTCTGTCCTGAATCTTCCAACGTTCAGCTTCACTGGATGTTCCTGAGTTCCAGCACCATGAGAGAGGGATATAAACTCTCTCCACTTTCTTCATGACATGCATAATTTTGTGTACTCCTCTCATGTCTCCTCTTGCTCACCTTTTCTCTGAACTTAAAAGTCCAAATTCTGCAACCTGCCCTCAAAGAGAAGTCGCTTCATCCCTTGAACATTTTCATTGCCGTTTTCTGAACCTTTTGAACTCTAAATCTCCATTTTGAGAAGAGGCGACCAGAACTGCGCACTGGACTCCAAGTGTGCTCTGGGGTTGTATAATGACATCAGCAATTTTATTTTCAATTCCTTTTCCTATGGTCCTTGGCATGGAAATTGCCTTTTTCACAGCTGCTGCACACTGGGTCAACTTCTTCACTGAGCTATCCAGTACAGCCCTAAGGTCTTGTGATTATTATGGGGTGATTGTCATGTTTGGAAGCTGGCAAGGCAAAGAGTCTCGCTGTTTTTTCACCTGACCATGGAAAAGTCAGGCTGGGCCAGTGGGGGTTGGGGAAAGCTGTGGCACCGCGAGAGACAGACAGGCTCAGAACATAAAGCACTAAGCAGGTCTGTGCCACTTTCCAGATTAAATATCTGAGTCCGAGGCTCTTCAACAAAGAGGAGGGAGCGCTTAATTTGTTTTATAGCAGCGAATGGACAAAGGCAGCATTGTGAGCATCCGTCTGTCTCGAGAGACAATGGAGTGTGCCGGGGGCGGGGGGTGAAATCAAACTGCTGCCTTAGTGGCACCAAAATGGCCTGGCTGATGCGGTCCAAAGTAAAGCAGAGCAAGACGTTTGGCACCATCTTGGCTGCAGGAGTTGCTGGAAGGAGGCAGACAAGGCACCATCCAACCCTCTTAGGGACTCCATCCAGATGTGTGTAGGGTTTAGTCCTTAGCCTTTACTTCTCCAAAAATATCCCGCAAGGCAGTGGAGGTTCAGGATCAGAGATTTTCTTCTCCTAGTTGGGTTTCCTTCCCAGGCAGATGAGCCCCCCCTGCCCCTCACTTCCCTCTCCAGCACAGGCAGAAACTGCCTTCTTGACTGGTGGACTCCCCGTTCTTTGCATCTGCTCAGTCTGCTGGAGCCTCTCTTTGCATGCAGGGGATAGGCAGTCCCTAACTAGCCGAGGGTTTCAGACCCATCAGCTCCCCTCACCTGGTGTTTAGCCAGCCAGTGGAAGCCATTCCCTGGGGTGTGGCTGCTGTCGCCTGCTGACAGCTTCTAAAAGCCACAGGTGAGATCGGAGTACACGGACCAAAGGCTCACAAACCACCCCAGAAGGACATGACGTGCCCCCACCAGAGGCACTGGCCCCCCAAGCACCCCATACATTTAAAACACTTAACATCCCCAAAGAATCCTGGGAACTGTAGTTTGTTAAAGGTGCTGGGAAATGTAGTGCTGGAGGGGTAGGCCACAGTTCCCAGGATTTTTGAGGGGTGAAGTGCTTCAAATGTATGGTGTATATGCAGCCTAAGGCTGCAATCCTAACCCTACTTTTCTGTGAGTAAGCTCCATTGAATTCAATTGGGCTTACTTCTGAGTTAAGCTTCATGGTTAAACTTGTGCTGTCAGTTTCCTCCAGGGCATTCTCTGGTTAAATGTCACAATGAAATCACAAGGTAGCCTAGTTTGATTCAGTCTCAACCCAGAATCTGTAATATGGCTTTGACAGCATGGCTCTACTTTACAGGGTTGTTGAACAGAGGCGAACAGTTTACTCAAAGTGCTATGAAATAAATATTCTTCTTAACCTGAGAGGCGGTGGTCCTTGCTTAGAAGCCCTTCGTCAAATCCTACATGTTGGTTTGCAATTACTGGGTGGTGTTTGGAAAGCACTTTGCTCATGCTCAGAAGTAATGCAGATCCTTTCTTTGCAGCTCTACAAAAAGGGATGATGAAGCAGTCTGTGCCGCCGCCTCTTCCTCTCTCAGCCCGACGGGGGTCTCTGCCAGTCCTGGGTCCCTCTGGGTCCCAAGCGAAAGCTGTCGCCAGCAGAGGTAGGTGGAATTGCGAGCCAGCTGTGGCCTCATTGGAATCAGTGACTGAAGGTTGCTTCAGTAAATTCTTACTTCAGTGGACTGGAGACAGGCAGCTAAGGGTCTTTCAGATTAGTAAGTAAAATCCATTCCCAAGTTATACCTGAAGATGCTCTGCCTGCTTATCTCCTTGTCTCCTAGATTAGACTACCAACCTTCACCCACCTGGTGCTCTCCAGATATTTTAGACTACAACTCCCGTCAGCCCAGTGGTCTTTGGGATGGGAAGGGAAGAAGGCAGGGAGACCTACAGCATACCTTCCAGGTGCCCCAATTTAACCGGGACAACCATGCTTTCCTTCAAGGCGCCCTGGGCTCAACCTTCGTCTTGGAGTGCCCTGGTTTTGCACCGACTGCAGTGGGGCTGGCGGAAGCAGCTCCTGCAACAGCAGTGGCCTTGTGAAGGAGCACTTCCCGGCCTTTGGGAAGGAGGCGTGAGACTCTGGCAGGCTCCTGGAGCCCGCCTGCCTCTTCTCCTAAGTGGCCAAGCGCTTGCCTGGCTTTGGGAAGAGTCAGAGCACGGTGCCTTCTTCCCTAAGGCAGGGCTGGCAGCGCTTTGGGAAACAGTGGCGAGGCCCGTGTCCCAGTTTTCATCAGCAGAATGTTGGATCATTTGCAACAGTAGGTGGAGCCAGAGCCCATGGCAGGCTGAGCCCACTCCTTGTACTGTAGCTTGGTCCTCTCATGGGCCTGGGAGACTCTCCGCCCCAGGGCTGCCTCTAGGAGTCCAAGAATGGCGCATAGGGGCTGCTTGAGGCCCGGAGGGAAAAGTAGGCTAAGGAATGAGATGTTAGTGCGTTGATGCACACATGCCACTTGCTGAGAAGTGTGGGAACATATGTGTTACACACCACCCCAATTTCTGAGTGTCAAGAGACTCCAGGGGCGCCAGCCCTTGCCCAGGGTTTGGCTTCCTTGGAATGAAGGTCTCTAGAGACTGAGGTGTCTTTAGGATATATGGCTTCATTTACACATATCTACAACCTGAGACTAAGGAGGAGGAGGCTGGGGTAGCTCAGTTGGTAGAGCATGAGACTCCTAATCTCAGGGTCATGGGTTCAAGCCCCACGTTGGGGCAAAAGATTCCTGCATTGCAGGGGCTGGGCTAGATGACCCTCAGGGGTCCCATCCCTCTCTATGATTTTAACCTTCTAAGATTCTAAGCTGACAGACGGTGCCACCTCCTGGCAGGCAGCTGGAAGCTGACTGAGGTTGGGGGGGGCAGAGCCCAGTGGAGGAGCCTCTGCCAAAGTGACAGCCAAATAGCTCTAACCCCTCCCAGGGCTAAATGGGGTAACATGCTGAGAATGCCTCTGGTGTGGGGAGGGGAGAGCCATGGCCCCTGGTGACAGGTGGGGGGAGAGGGATCCCAGGTGTGAGGCAAGTTGCCAGAAAGTGTCTTGGGTTTTTGGCAATTCCAGTGGGAAAACAGGGCACTGCCCCCCCCCACTCGGCCCCAACTGCCTGCCCTCTGACATACAAGGAGGAAGAAGAGGGGGACCAAACTAGCATTCCTTGTCTCCGCCTGTCATTGGCTCTGGCGCCACCAGCTGTGGGTCTCCCTGCTTTCTGCCCTACCAATACCGGAGGCACAACACTGAACAATTCCCGTTACTGGTCTGGTTGTTGGCGCTGCCTTTGTAGAGTTAGATCTTAATATATATGCAGATATTTTGGTTTGAACTGTGCTTTTTAAAAAAATGAATGAATTTTTATTTGGACATTATTGAAATGTTATTACATGTTTGAAATATACTGCGGTTGATATTATTGAACTGCTTAATGGTTATTTTTATGTATTGCTGTTCTTGCTGTTCAATACCTTGCATATTGTAAGCTGTCTTGGCCACAATTTCCTTTGTGGAAAGGCAGCATATAAAATTGGAGTCCAATTCAGCCAACCTGGTGCCCTCCAGATGTTTTGGAATGCAGGGGCTCATGCTCATTGCTGTTTTTCTAGAAAAAGAGGTGCCAGAGCTCACCATGAACTTTCCCCTTGTTCTCTTAGAATGGCAATGGCGCCCACCTGAGAGGGGCTGGAACTGAGCTCTGCCTTTGGGAGGGGGTGAAGAGAATGGGGGCTGGGGGCTTGGGGGGAGAGGCAGAAGAGGAATTGCTGTTGGCTGCTAATTCTTGTCTTCCTTTGCACCATTTTGCAGATCCTTTACCAGCCCTGAAAGATGACGAGGTAACTAAGAACCCACCTGCCATTTAGAACATTTGCTGCTTCAGATTACTGTCCCTGGTTAGCACATTTGCAGCAAGGGTAACTTGCAAGTTTCCCTGTGGGCAGCCGGAGACACGACCAAGACCATAGGAAGGACAAGATGGGCCCTCCCTCACCATTCCATGGGCAGAAGCTGACCTGTCTGGCTGCTGAATCTCCAGCACTGAAGAGAGAATAGTTCTCCCAAGGAACCTGAAGGAAGCAGGCTAGATTTAGGGGACCAAGGCAGGCCATGTTGCATACATAGCTCTGTCTTCCAATGGCGGGAGGAGCTGAGGAGGAACTGCCAGGGGGCTGTTGCCACTTCCTTCTCCAGCATCGGCTGCCTGAGGCTCTTGTCTCATTTGGCCTAATGATAAGGCCAGCCCTGGCTGGAGAAGAAGAAATCAGAGGGAAGCAAGTGATCAGCATGTGAGTGGTGTTCTCTCTCTCTCTCCCCACCCCCAGGAGGAGACCCAAGAGGAATCGATCTACGTGGAATGTGAGCCCAGAGCAGGTGAAGCCCCTTTCCCCACCAGAAGCCACCACTGTGATGCTTCTAGGAAAGGGTTGTAGCTCAGTTCTGGATCGCAGGCTTAGCAAGCAGAAGGTCCCGGGGTCATCAACGCCTGCCATCTCTGACTTATGATGGGAAAGACCTTTTGTCCAGGACCTTTGGGGCCTTCTTAAGGGCTGCTCCCAGACTCATCTTGTCCCCCCCCCTTGATGGTCTCCTGACAGCAAAACAATCCTCTGTGTTTTAAACCATATTAAGGTAAAAAGGTAAAGGACCCCTGGACAGTTAGGTCCAGTCAAAGGTGACTATGGGGTGTGGTGCTCATCTTGCTTTCAGGCCGAGGGAGCCGGAGTTTGTCCACAGATAGCTTTCCAGGTCATGTGGCCAGCATGACTAAACCGCTTCTGGCACAACGGGACACCGTGATGGAAACCAGAGCACACAGAAACTCCGTTTGCCATATTATCTTCCTTTAATTATGTCCTTTAAGCAGCTGCCATTTTAACATTGTCTTTGATCTTCATTGTGATTTTGCTTATTTGTTGCATATTGGACTTTATTGTTGACCCACTAGGGCTTTTTTATTTTGTTAAGGGTGATCATCATCTGAGTGATCCAAACATGTGACAAAGGGATGGATGGTCTGCTGTATCTGGGATACAGCAGCTTCACATTGTCCCCAGTGGTGCTAGGTGCTTGTATCCAGCAGACGCCAGCTGGGACCAAACCTGCCCAAAGAGGGGTGCTGAGCTCCAGCCTGCCACCTTCCTTGTGGCCTGATACTCATTTTCCCCCTTCCAGCCTCCGTGCCCCGCAAAGTGCTTCCTTGTCCAACCCCAGTGCCTCCTGTCCAGCCTCTGAAGCAAGCCAGGTGAGTGTGTCCTCCTTCCAGAAGAGAAAATCCCAGTATCTGTACATCGGGGTAGCCCACATGGTGCCCTCCAGATATTCAAAGAATCATAGAATAGTAGAGTTGGAAGGGACCCCAAGGGTCATCTAGTCCAACCCCCTGCAATGCAGGACTCTCAGCTAAAGCATCCGTGACAGACAGCCATCCAACCTCTGCTCCAGCCCTCATCAGCCACTGCACCATGGCCATTAGGCAGGAAGGATGAGAGTGAAAACATCCATGAACACTGAGATAGGATATTAGTCTCTCTGTCCCTTACTATCTCTTCAGAGGGGCAGCAGTTTTCCAGGGTCCTTGGTTGGCAGGTATCCCTCACTTTAGCCCTGCATTCTGGGACTCACTGCACTGGAGAGGCTGAGCTGAATGAAGTGGTCTTTCTTTGAGCCAGGGGTCAATCCGACACTCTTGCTTCTGTACTTGCACCGCACCCCCATTCTCAGTGGTGATGCTCAGTATTAGGGAGGGGGGCCCTGCACTGCCTCCCTGACCATTCCTAGCCCTGCCCTGACCAAGTGCTCAGCAATCAGCATAGTGGGCTGGCCTGGCCTAGACTGGAGGAACCAGTACCTAGGCTGGCTGTGCTCCTGGATTCAGCCTTGTTGCTTGAGACCCAGGTCTTGTGCCAAGGAGCTGCAGCTGGTTCAGCAGCTATGGTCATCCCTGGTCCAAGGTGGTCTGAGAACAGTGTTGCATGCTCTAGAAACTTCCCGTTCTGATTCAGGAGCTGCACAATGTGGCTGCGCTAACTACCCAATGGGTCACTGTTGCTTACTGAGAGGGTGAGAGGCAGAGGGGTCAGTGCAGTGCAAGGACAGCAGTGCAGCCAGTCCAGAACTGCCCCCAGCACATTTGCAGGGCATGGACTCCCCAACCCTTCTCCCCTCCCCCCCCCCGTGCCAGCGACTCACCTGCCCAGAAGCTCTTGCCTCGCCCTCTGAGCTGCTCCTGCTCAGATTTCTGAAGTGTGTCTACCAAGGCTTCTCTTTACTGTTGCTGCCATTTAAACTGTTAATGGTTTTAACCAGTGGGGTTTTTTTGGGGGGGGGGGCGACGCATACCGCTAAACATTTTGTGAATCTAAGTTTGGCCTCATTGAGGGGCAGTATTTCAATATGAGTAGGAAAATGAGAATACCCCTAAACATTTTTTTAAGGGAAAAAAGCACTGGTTTTAACTACATATTATGAATTGGAATGACATTGTATTTCACTTTGAGGTCACAATGGGATCAAAAACAGCATGTAGGTGCATGAAATAAAGACATAGTAGTTGTTGTTAAGAAGCAGTGCTGTCTAGAACAGAGATTAACTGCTCTCTGAAATTCACCAAGGACCTGGGCATGTTCACAGTTCTTTCCCTTTTCATAATCAAATGCTCAGTCTGAGACCTGGGTTTGCAAATGTGTGGATCAATGTGGGGTTCTAGATCTTAAATGTCACAGGGCTAATGTCACACCACAATCCTATTCTCTCTTTCCCCCCCCCTTTCTTTCTTTCTATCTTTCTTTCTCTCTCTCTCTCTCTCTCTCTCTGATGTTAGGCCAGCAATCACTCCGTCAGGACCCCAGAAGGTAGGTGTGGGGGCTGGCAAGGGAGCACTAGAGAGCTTGAGATGAGGATGATGGCCAGGGGAGGTCTCTGGAACTTTGCATTCGTGGGCTTAACTGTTGTTTTGTTTTGTTTTGCTATGCTATGCTATGCTAAGGCAGGCCACCACAAACTCAGGATGCAGCAAACCAGACTGCTTAACCTACCCTACAGGGCTGTTGTGCTGAGAAAATGGAGGGAGGGAAGAGAGGAACTTGTTCATGAGAAGAAAGGGCAGGATAACTAAAGGGACCTATGGGACCCCTTTGTCTCAGATTTTCCTGCTTGGCAATTGCACTCCTCAGAGGAGGCATCACGAAGAGAACCGAGTGTCCTAGAGTTGCACTTAATAAGCACTTGAGGGCTGGCTTTTAGTGTTGCAGCTCCAGCCCTCTGGAGTAAACCATGAACTGAAATTAGACAGGTGCCTAGCGCCTTGATAACATTTTTGTTTAAGGAGGCTTGCCCTGAAGTGCGTGACCCAGTCATTTTAGGGAATGAAACCTGTGAATTTTTATAAATGCATTTATTGCTTTTAGTTTAGTGAGTTGGTAATTTTTTTGTATGGTGGTTTATAAATCAGGCCTGTGTTGAGGAAGAGGATGTCTGGGAACAGGGGTGCATGGAGTTAGCCCTATGCAATTGCTGGGCAACAGGTAGATATACCTAGGTTATGGGAACAGGAGGTGAAAACTCTGTGCGCTCGTTTTCTTTCCAGGCCTTTGTGGAAAACCTGTGCAAAGGTAAGTGCCACACTCTGAAGCCTCTGCATCAGCCTTTGCCAACCTGGCCCCTCCAGATGTTGTTGGACTACAGCTCCCACCACCATAGCCTTCAACATGTGGAGTCCCAAAACTTGGGTGCACGAGATCATGGAGCCCAAAAGATGTGCTTTTTTCGGGACCGTGCTCTCACTATGCCCAAAAATGTGTGGTTTGGGGTGCTGCACAAGATTGTGGCCCTGAAAAGAAGCGTGTTTCTGGGGCAAGATCTCGGTGCAAAATTGTGTGACATCATGGTGACCTGGGGGTCGGGGGATGGGATGTCCTGGTTTTTCTGGGACACTTGCGGGGAGAATGCACCAGCCCCAGCCATGTGATGCTGAGGATTGGGGGCTTATTCTCGGGGCCATCTTTGGGATCCCCTCCTAGTCTGTGGTTTCACATCTGTAAGATGAAATTCTGTAAAAACAGAGATTGCTAAAAGGATCAAAGAAGTCTCTTTTTGAGTTAATGACTTTAGCCAAGTGTGTTGAGTATCTCTTTGCACGGCTGCCATGGAATTTTGAAGGGGTCTGGCCCTGCCTTGAATTTTTTTTTGCAGGGGGGCTTGGTGCCCCTGCTCAGCTGTACATGAAGATTGGACCAGGGATCATCTTCATGCAGAGCAGATTCCCGATCCCCAAGCGACAGCTGTGCCCTGATTTTGATTGCTCATGCGATGTGTGTGTCATTCATGCACTGATGTGGCACAGGGAATATTTGCCTATGTCATACATATCTCAGAAACCCTGAACTGTTCTATCTCTTTCAGGTGTGTCTCTGAAGAGTGGATCTGTGCCAGAGGTGAGCAAGGAGATCTTGCCTGAAGATTCTTTGGCTGCCCTGTCCTCTTGCTTATAGAGCAGCAGTTAAAGTTTAACCTCCCTAATCCCATGGGGCTAAGCATAACAACAGAGAGAGAGAAGGGCACTGCTGCTGCGGGGGGGGGGCACTGCTGTAGCTAACACAGGATTGTTACCAACAGCAAAGAGTCGTGCAGGATCTTAAGGATAATGCATTTATTATATGACATAAGGGTTTGTGTTCTAGAAGAGTGATGCCTCTTCTTTCACTTCCCATGCCTCATTATCAGGTCACATATGAATTTATTTAGTATTGCAGTGGGTTTTGAGTTTACTTTATTGCTGCAATGGGCCCAAGAGTGGTATTATGGGTGGGCAAATCTGTCCATTCATTCCACCGTGGGTTTTTTCAGTTTGTGATTATTATTTTTAAGTCCCCATTAAAAATTGTCGTCATTTTAGTGCCCTTTCCTCCTAATACACACATTTAAAAGCAGTTCCCCCCAATATAAACTTTGTATGTTGTTTTCAAAAACTTACGCATTAATATGCACAATTGACCCTGCGGATGCATTTTTGTACACATTGTTTGGTTGAGAAATGCACTGCAAAATTTTGAGAAGTGCAAATTTAGATAGTTTCTGATTAAAATGCAAGCAAAATCACATTTCTCCTCACCCTCCCACTGAACCCCTCTGTGGTACGTGTGTGTGATCTCAACCAGTGCTCATAAAACTTTACTGTTTGTTGAGTTTTGCTTTGCTCCTTTTTTTTGCAGTTGGACTTTAAAAACACCCAGGAGGGAGCCTTTCACCTTTGCTTGACATGCCATTTGTTTAATTTGCCCTTGTTCTCTGCTCCTCTGACTAGAACAAAGAGCACTTTAAACATATGGTTTCCAGGTGTTCCAGGTGTTCCAGGTTACCTGGCGGGGCACGTTTTCTGCAGCTGTAGCAGTAACCTTGCCACCTCCCCAGAGAAATCTGAAATGGCACCTGTGGGCGGAGGTCTTCAGTGACGGTGGAAAGACATGGTTCCGAATGGAACTGCCACTTTTGTCTGTGCCCCTACCATTCCCTGTGACTGTGCTTGCCTTATCATCTGTTACATTCCCTTAGGATTTTTGCATGCAAAACAAGGCCTGGTATGCAGGGAGCTGTGACCGACATACGGCTGAGGCTGCCCTCCTCCGGTTTAATAAGGTAAAGGTGTGTCTCCTGAAGTTGCCCTGCAGCACCGTCATAATGCAGCTGCTGTTCAAGGAAGAGGCTCTTCCAATCCCTTTGCCTTCTGGAGCCACAAAGTCTCCATGGTGCTCACCAGCTGAATTAGCTGCAGCTAAGTAACTCGGAGGTCCAGCAGCTGTGGCTGAATGGGATTTCTGAGTGTCATGAGACCAGGAGAGAGAGAGACCCTGCAGGGACCCAGTTTGGGAGGCAGGTTTGGGGGCTCCATTTTAAAGGCGTCAGTGTAGCAGGATGGACAGATCATCTGATACTGGGCACAATCAACCAATACATTTTCTTGCTTAACCCCACTGGCTGGCAGGAGCTGGGCAAAGATAGGATATCCTGTGGTCCACAGACGACGCCCTTGGGCACGCACCGCCTCTGGGCATTCTGCTGCCTGAAGCAGCTGCCTCAGCCTACCTCATGGGTGGGCTGGCTTTGGGTCAGAGCACACCTGAAATAGTGTGCCCAGTTCTGGGCACCATGTTTCAAGAAGGGCCCCTTTTGGGGGCACAGCACAAGCCTTGCATTCCAAAGGCCCCAGGGTCACACACACACACCCCCGGCATCTTCAGGGAGAGCTGGAATCCTGTGGAGACACTGCCAGTCAGTGTTGGCAGTACAAGGTTGGCTGGATCAGCGCTCTGCATGAGGAAGCTTCCTGTGCTCCAGAGGACATTGACCAGCTGGAGCGGGGCAGCCAGGATGGTGAGAGCTGGGAAACCAGGCCTATAAGGAATGATAGAAAGAGCTGGATATGCCTGGAGAAAAATGAGAAGGAAGAAGAGGAGACATTGCAGCATAGTTCTCAGAATGGCCGTGCTCTCTGCTTCTGAGGGGGTAAATATTGAGATATTGAGGCAAAGGGCCTGTTAAGAATTTTACTAGTTGCAGCAAGAATCTCCATAGCCCAAACCTGACAGATTTTACAAGGTATAGGACTAGATTAATGTTTTAAGACTGTATGGAGAATGGCACTTGTGGAGATAATAATTTATTTATTATATTTATATAACACCTTTCCTTCCAAGGAGCTAAAGTTGTTGTATATGGTTCTCTGTGAGGCAGGTTAAGCTAAAAGATGGCGACTGACTCCAAGGTCACCCAGTGAGCTTCATGGGAATTTGAACCCTGGTCTCCCAGGTCCTAGTCTGACACTGTGACCATTGCACCACACTGTCTCTCACACTGGTTTTACCTTTTGTTAAAACTAAGGTCACGTGTGTCTTGTCTCCTTTGGTTGATGGAGACCATGATGTTTTGGTATACAAGATTTGGTTGAAGGAATGATAAGAATGTATAGTAAAACAGGATTGAAGATTGTACAATAGCATATGAATAATAGCTACTGGCTTTTAACGAGAGGAGGAAATGGGGGTTTACATTTTCTCTTTTGTTGAATTTATTGTATACATGCAATGCAAAATCAACAAAAAAAATGGGGGGGGGAGGTTATCCCAAGGGCTGAAAAGGAGGAGATGGAGAGGCTTCTCTTCTGCTGCTCCACAAGGGAGAACTAGAGTCAAGGGAAGTAACAGAAAGCAGGTGTCGGCTGCACATGATGAGACACTTGCCCTATTAAGCAGTGAAACTGACACTTAAATTATGGGCTGGAGGAAGAAAGCCTATTCCGATTCCAAGATCCAGATTTTCACCTGCATTTGACGTCTCCTCCCTTAACCTGAATGTCTCCACCCTCTTTTTTCACAAAAGGACAGTGCCTACCTGGTGAGGCAGAGCTCACGACACGGCTGGAACCAGCCATTCACTTTGGCTGTGCTCTTCAAGAAGCACGTCTACAACATCCCCATCCGCTACTTAGAGAGCAGTCATCAATACACGCTTGGCAAGGATGGCAGGAGCCACGAAGAGGCGAGTGCTCTCTTTCTATGTTGGGAGGGCCGTGGCGCAGCCGTAGAACAGGCAGAAGGTTCCCAGTTCCTTCTCCAGCATCTGCAGGAAAGGCTGAGAGACCCTCTCTCTGCAATACTGGAGCTCCGCTGGCTGTCAGCTTAGTCAATGCTCAGTAGGTCCACGGAGTCCTGTCACCTGTATTTCTCATGTTTTTCATTTCAGGGGGATTAGCGGTATGTGGAAGAATGTTCCAACCGTGCTTAGCCTCCTTTTATGACAAAGAGATGCCGGAAACTAAGTTGTGGAATGGGCACCAAAAATTGGTTGCAGGCCACTTTAATCTTGATTCAGCTGTTGCTCCTTCTTCTCCTGCCCCTCCTGCCTCCCTGCCTCCCTCAGTGTGGGCTCCCACAGACAGGTATCCCCAAACTCGGTCCTCCAGATGCTTTGGGACTACAACTCCCACCATCCCTAGCTAACAGGACCAGTGGTCAGGGATGCTGGGAATTGTAGTCCTAAAACATCTGGAGGGCCGAGTTTGGGGATGCCTGCCCTAGGAGAAGGGGTCAAATTAGTTAAGTTTACACTGAAATGTGAACTGAACTGTTTTTTTCTCCCATCCCCAGCCGGAGGGCACCTGATGTAGGGCCACCTTGCAGAAGCCAAGGAGGTCCAGGTCTCCTCAGTGTCTGGATAAGCACCTGGTAACCCCCTGCCCACCACCCCGAGATCCATGATGGAAGAAACAAATGCGCCCGTCTCCCTCTTAGCTCCCACCCACACGATGCATGTTAAAGCACTGCTGTACCACCTTAAGAGCCACAGCTTTCCCCAAAGGATTCTGGGAGCTGTGGTGGTTGAGGACCCCCTAACAATTCCCAGCGCCCTTGGCAAACTACTGTCCCCAGGATTCTTTGAGGGAAAGCCATGACTCTTAAAGTGGCCTAGGTGTGTGTTCAGTATATAGGGTGAATGTGACCTCAGTCCACAGAGCTCTGCCACCTCATGACTTGAGGGAAACTGGACTAAAAAAGCTAGTCCCTTGAGGTACAGAAAGAAGCTGACCTGCTCCCTGTTCTGCTCTTTTCCTTGCCAGCTCTTTGACAGCGTTTCCGGCATCATCCAAAGCTACAGCGAGCGCCCCTTGGTGCTGGTTGATGGCAGCACTTCTGCCAAGGAACAGACTTGCTTGCTGTTTCCAGTGAAGCCATGACTTTGGGGCCTGGGGAGTAGGACCAGCTATGGGGGAAGATGGGACGTCCTCCCTGACCTCAGGCACAAACGGCTTCATTTGCCTGGCTGGACCGACACAAGGCCAAAGGATCAGCGTGGCACCCTGGCATTCTGCAAAAGGTTCTTGTGAATCATTCTTCAATATTCCTCAGTAGCCTTCTTCTGGCAAACAGCAGTGCATCTGCAAATATATTCCACTGGTACTGAAACGGCAAAGCAAGGGAACTTGTGGGCTGGAAGGGAGAGTTTAGCAGGGATTCCCACCTAAGGCACCAGTCCTGCTGTCGGTTGGTTTTATTTGTTACAAAATTGAAATGTTTCACCCAGTCAATATCACTGTTGCCCAGCACTCCCATCTGAGCAATGTGAGATTCCAGGGGTTCCAGGCGCTTCTCCAGGGCTTGGTTCCCTCAGAATGAGGGGCAGCGGAGACTGTGGCATCTTTAGGGTATGTGGCTTATGTACACATATGTGCCTACGGTGGAAGGGCTCACAGCATTAACACCCTTGCTTCTCCCAAAGGCACAGCCTTGGATTCAAGCAAAAACCAGGCATGGGCCTGTCTCTCAGATGCCCAGCCTGCAGCCTCCTGCTTCCAGCTCCCCACTCACACACCTCAACTCTGGCCTTTTGTCTTTCTTCTTCTTTGGCGATCACTCGTAGCCGAATAAGACTGTATTCCATAAACACAGTTTTAACAATGAGGCCTAAGTGACTGTGGAGGCCAGTTTTGGATCCACATGTCCTTCCACAGTGGGGACATTGGTTACCAGGCAGGAGTTGATCATGGTGAGGGTTTGCCAAGCATGCCTTCCTCTTAGCACATTTCTCCCTTGCGTCCTGAGTTCAAGTGTCTTCAAAGCCCATGACACCTTTGGTAAAGGCTGTTCTCCAACTGGAGCGCTCGCAGGCCAGTGTTTCCCAGTTGCCGGTGTTTATACTACATTTTTTTAGATTTGCCTTGAGACAGTCTTTAAACCTCTTTTGTTGACCACCAGCATTACACTTTCCATTTTTAAGTTTGGAATAGAGTAGTTGCTTTGGAAGGGACGCGGGTGGCGCTGTGGGTAAAAGCCTCAGCGCCTAGGGCTTGCCGATCGAAAGGTCGGCAGTTCGAATCCCCGCGGTGGGGTGCGCTCCCGCTGCTCGGTCCCAGCGCCTGCCAACCTAGCAGTTCGAAAGCACCCCCGGGTGCAAGTAGATAAATAGGGACCGCTTACTGGCGGGAAGGTAAACGGCGTTTCCGTGTGCTGCCCTGGTGCCGGCTCGCCAGAGCAGCTTTGTCACGCTGGCCACGTGACCCGGAAAGTGTCTCCGGACAGCGCTGGCCTTCGGCCTCTTAAGTGAGATGGGCGCACAACCCTAGAGTCTGTCAAGACTGGCCCGTACGGGCAGGGGTACCTTTACCTTTACCTTTTAGTTGCTTTGGAAGACGATCATCAGGCATCCGCACAACATGACCAGTCCAGCAAAGTGGATGTTGAAGAATCATTACTTCAACACTGGTGATCTTTGCTTCTTCCAGTACACTGGTATTAGTTCTCCTGTCTTTCCAAGTGATGTGTTAAATTTTTCGGAGACACCGTTGATGGAATCTTTTGAGGAGTTGGAGGTGGTGTTTATCAGTGGTCCATGTTTCACAAGCATACAGTAATATTGGTAGTACAATAGCTTTGTAAACAAGCATTTTGGTTTCCCTGTGAATGTCCTGGTCCTCAAACACTCTGCACTTCAATCAGGAGTAAGCTGCACTCGCAGGGCTCAGGCAATGCTGGATTTCAGCATTTTGTCTTTCTAATTAATAGACAATTGAGGAATGGGGACCCACTTCCTTTGTTACATTAACGACCCATACTTAGGGGGCCACTACCAATAAATTTGTCAGGCCGTTCCAACAAATTAGTCCTTGTTGAATCCAGGAATTGGAAGGGACTCCGGCATACTCAGACCCACTAGGCCCAGCCCAAAACTCAAAACACTACATTCTTAACTCAAAGGTGGATAGCTTTCAGGCTTGTTGGATCTACTTTGTCTTTTCCTAAATTCGCAAGAACTGCCAATATCAGCTGACACAAGAATCCACTCCTGGCAGGCTTTCGCCTTCATTTTAGTAACCTAATTTATCTGGGGGGAAATGTAAGTTTCCTTTTGCAATTGTTAAAAGATTGGGAGTCATAAAGCCTTTCTGATCTACTACAAATCACCCTGAAATCTGCCAGTAGACCCCTGTCTCCCTTCTGCTCACCCCAATTCTAGAAAATCTTGGTTTCCGTATATAGTATTGATATACAGTTTTGTTTTAATGTATGTTAAAATCTATTACATTGCAAAGGCCAGGCTTTTATTTTGAAAACATTATTCCAATTTCCCTAGCTGCTCATCCTCAGAAGAAAAATGAATTACGGTAACAGAGTAACTCAACTCATCTGTTGCTGTATTTTCTAATAACTACAAGGATTTTTGTTAAGTCGTGGGTTGACATAGCAGCCGGCACAGCGATTTCTTCAAGTAGCTCTTTATTCTGGTAAGCTGGAATAGAACTGACTGCGAACAGCTCAGCCGGCCTGTATTTATAGGCAGCCGGCTGTCAACATTGTAACCACAACAGCCCAGAGTTCCCGCCTAAACTAACTGGCGCGGACCTGAGTGAAAACTATCTACAGACCTGAGTGAAAACTATATACAGTATCCCCCTGTTGGCCCAGGGTGAAACTACACTACATAACAATTTTATTCTGCATGAAATTGATGCAAGGCCCAGCATGACTTGCAAATTACAGCCCATCTAGTAGAAAAGCATTTCCCCCTCCTATTCAGCACAAAGAAGCATCGGGAGAATAGCTTCCAGGAACATGTAGAGAATGCCCACGAGAACCAGCCAAATCAGTACAAAACTACATAGCTGTACTGATTGCCTCAGAATATATTGCCTTCTAGTTTGTAGTGATTTTTCTAGAATGATAATGCTTATTCTCATCTTGGTTCATTTTGTCAGTAGGGTGGGTTTGTTCCGTTTGTTGTTGTCATATGAACTCAATAAAACATTATAAAGAGGAAGGTGGCCAGGTGCCCTCCTTTACAGAGGATGGTCCTCTAAGCCATCCTGTATTTGAAGGCCTTCCCAGTCCAAGTCCAGTTTAAAGAAAAGGAACACTAAGAAGGGTGAGCGCTGGAGCTCTGTGGTGGAGCAACTGTCTTGCATGCAGAAGGACAATGCAATTATCAAAGGTGCAGGAGTCCTGGTCTCTTCTGCATCTGGCCAGACTACATGCCTGTTCTGTGACATTTTGAGGGGTCCTGATAAAGGCTTGGCCTGTTGTGCATTTGGGAGGGTTTTTTCTTTGCAGAGCTCAACAAGCATTTTTTTAAAAATTGGAAATGTCAGTCTACTGGCAACTCACTGAATGACCCGAAGGTGTCCTCAGTTTTCACTAGATCTTGCCTCTCCAAACAAATCCCCAGAGGGCCGGAACCTTTCACGATTCCTTGTGTTTTCTTCGCCAGGACAAGATGTTACATTTTCTGACTCGTGATTCGACATATTTAGGCAGTCCTCCAACCGAGCGCAGCTCCTCAGCAGCAAGAGGCCACTCTAAAGAGGCACCAAGACAGGGCCTGGATCCTACAACAAATCCAGTCACCAACTTTGTGCCCATATCTCTTCAAGGAACACTTTTACAGGACCTTATAGTGTCTGCAGCAGCATCAAAAGGTTCAGTTCACTTAAGCCGCCTGTCGCACACTCTTAATCTAGCCTACCCTGCAGGGACGCTGTGAGGATGAAATGTGGGTGTGGGGAGGCCTCAGTGCACAGCAAATGAAGTATTCAGACTGCTATAGCACAACAAAACTGGGAGAACACAGCAAGAGAAAGGCATGGAAAGTTTTGGGATTTCAGCAGGATGTTACAGCATAGGCACTGAATGGAAACGAAGCAGTATGAAAACCACAAAACCTTTACAAGTGCAAAAAGTATTGAAAGTAGAACTGTGTGTGACCGCCCCCAAAACACCCTGAATGTGCAATGTGGAGGGGCTGCATTTATTTTATTTTTATTTTATTTATTTATTAAGTTTGTACACTGCCCTTCATCTGAAGGTCTCAGGGCGGTTCACAGCATAAATATACAATATAAAAAAACACAAAATATATCATAAAAACAAGAACAGAACAAACTAATTACCACCCTCCCCCCCCACCCCTCCCACAATCACATTTAGAAGGATACAGGAGGTTAATCAAAGACCTGGTTGTAGGGAAACATTTTTGCCCGGTGTCTAAAGACCCATAATGAAGGTGCCCAGCGTGCCTCCCTGGGGAGAGCATTCCACAAGCAGGGAGCCAATGTGGCATCTGAATATAGACTGCATTTTTAATCAAGGCATATATTGGCTTATATTTGATCAGGTTCCTAAATTAAATGGGCTTAGATTTTCAAAAGTTTCATGCCAGGCAAGAAGGCTAGCTGCTTAAGAAAACACTGACAGTGTTTTCTTCCTAGACAAGGGGCCCCTTGATAGATAGCAGAAAACAATTCTCAAAGTCGTAAAAGCTGGAATTACAGGCTGAAGACCAAGGTTACACAGACCCTACATAATTAGGAATGAGTAAATAGTAAAATAAAACCATGTGCCTCCATTAAACTTGAGCCTAAGGTCAAAAGGCCAAGAGCACATGGAAAACAAAGCGACTGGCTGGAGAAGGGGGGGAAGTATGAACAGGGAAGAGGCTTCTTTTAAAACGGTTTTTTACTGTGTTCCTTTTTACTGAGTTCTTTTTCTTCTTTAAAAAGGCTTTATTCTTTTAAAGAAGCTACCTGTGTTGTGTATTAAATATGCTGGCTTAAATGTAACTATGCAAAGGATTTAGAAAGTAACAAATTTAGATGTTAGATTCTTATTTCATAGAATCATAGAGTCCTAGAGTTGGAATAGACCACAGGGGCCATTGAGTCCAGCCCCCTGCCAGACAAGAAGACGCCATCCGAGCAATTCTGATATATAAGTTGTCAGATATTTGTTTAGAAACCTTCAAATGAAGGAGATCTTTCAATATTGATGTGAAACTCAAGATCCTTGACATATGTTTAAGATAAAAATTTAAGATTAACCATTTGTTTT